TCGCTCATTTTGGATTGGCTGATTATGCATTTTTGGCTCATAACGCATTGACAGAGTTTGCATGTTTGTATATATCATTACATGCATAACAGGGTGTTCATATGTCGTCCTTTTGTCGATAACATTAAACACGAAACGATGGCACACATAAAGTCATATGCATCATTACATAGTGCTATATCAAACACTGCTTTTTTAGAAGAGTAGATGTGACACATGCTTTCGATTCGTTAGTCAAAACATGGGCTCCATGCTCAAATGATACAGTACAAAGTGGCAAAAGCAAGCGTAGTTAGCAGGTTAAAGTGGATCCAGTTACAATAAACGAGTCGACTAAAATATAATGCATCATACATACAATGTCATTTACCTGAGTCAACCGTACATTCTACATTACGGAACGACGGGTTTACATTCACCTTTATACCCAACAATTACCTTATGTAATTGCATATATAGAAGTAGAATGATGAGTACGAAGATCGAAAGACGACTTCGCTTACTATATCCGTCAAAAAGAAGGGTACACAATGACCTGCGAAACGACGAGTACACATTGACCTGCGAAACGACAGGTATACAATGACTGACGTGGACAGGTACACTCTGCCTTTTTTACCCATTGACATCATAGTCACAATGACGTGACCTAACTAGATATATAAAAATTAAAGTAATGGTTCAATATACCGACCTTCATTAACTTTTATACCTATTAACTTACGTAAAGCAACCTAAAAATCGAAGGAAAGTAAAAAATTCAAATACTGTCAGCGTAAAATTTGTGCACCTATCCGTCGAAACGACGGGTGAATTCCATCACTTATTTGCATCAACGTAAGCCCATTTCCATCATTGTTAAATTAAGTAGGAATTTTTTATGTGGTCTAGCAATCTATTTCGTCGGACATCCATCTATAGAAATGATTAATATGACTAATATTTTTATAGTAAAATCTATATAATAACTCCGTCCATCATGCTATATGACTAAATGGAAAATGCACGGAACGACGGGTACTTAATGACTTTCAAACCCATCGCTATACCTTAGCCGACACGATATTCAAAGTAAAATGATGCCTATCTATACTACTTCGCACCGTCGGAACGACGGGAAAACACCCTCGTCTATATAATAAAAGAATACTGTCTGTCCGTTTGATCCTTTTCCGGCATTCGGATTGGCTACTTTTGCATTATTCGCTCATTTTGGATTGGCTGATTATGCATTTTTGGCTCATAACGCATTGGCAGAGTTTGCCTTTTTGTGTTAATAATTACATGTGCGATTTCCATATTAGAGAGTCCATATGTCGGCTTCTATCTATAACACTTATATACGAAACGATTGCACACATACGTGTTCATATTTTATATAAATACAGCTTATTATAAATATATAAGATGAGACACATGCTTCATAATCGTTGTAATGCATGTGCTCAGTGCTTGAATAATACACTAGAAATTCGGCAAAAGCAAGCGTTCTCATCAGGTTGTATTGAATTGCTGACTATAAGTGATGTGACCCATATGTATTGTATCTGCATTTTGTATATATTGTTACGTGAGCAGAATTCCATAATAAAATTTAGTCCATCCCTGGGTGTCGACATCACGTGCTTCTATCAAAAAAATGATATACGAAACGATGGCACACATAAATGTTCATATGCATCATAACATACTGCAATAATACACGCAGCTTTTTTAAAATAGTAGATGAGACACATGCTTTCGATTCGTTAGTCAAAGCATGGGCTCCATGCTCAAATTATACACTACAAAGTGGAAAAAGTAAGCGCAGTTAGCAGGTTAAAGTGGATGCAGGTACAATAAGCGAATCATACTTATTCATTTACCTGAGTCAACCGGATATTCTACATTACGGAACGACGGGTTTATATCTACCTTTATACCCATCACTTTACCTTATTAAACCGGATATATTGAAGTTAAGAGATGGGTACGAAAATCAAAAGACAGACTTCGCTTACTGTGTCCGTTGGAACGACGGGTACACATTGAACTGCGAAATGACAGATACACATTGGCCGGTGTCGACAGAAAAACTTTGACTTTCATACTTAATGATTTACTTATCACAACCGAATATATTTAAAAAGATGGGTACGAAGATTTTTCTAGCAGACTTTTGCTCACCATGTTTGTCGGAACGACGAGTGAGCATCCGTATTTTTAGGTAAATGGTGGGCCAATCTACTAGAAGCGTAGGATTGCGCCCCTATCCGTCGAAACAACGGACGCTAACAAAACTGCACATAGGCTAAAAGTAGCATCAAAACAGCTGTGAAACACACAATGATAATTATATTCGGTCCTTGATGCATAAAAATATGTATATATATTCGGTTCGCGCGCACCAATCCGTTAATCGACGGGCGAACACCCTAGAAAATCGCTGCGTGTTTTAAAGATGCCTACAGTATATATATTACTTTCTTGCACCGTCGAAACGACGGGTTAAAGCACTAGACCATAGTACTAAAAGCTCCATACAAGCTAAAAGTAGCATGAAAAAAGGCTGACTGACTCACCAACTTTTGATCCTTTCATTTGATTTATTCTGTATTTTTGGTCCGCTCGGACCTTTCCGTCGCAACGATGGGTGAGCACTCTTACTTTTTTCCATTAACGTAAGCAGATTTCCATCAGTATTATTTAAACGAATAATATGTATCAGGTTTAGCAATAAATTTCGTCGGACATCCATCTATAGGAGTGGGTATCATGACTGAAATTTGTATAGCAAAATCTGTATAATAACTCCGTCCATCATGCAGTATAAATAAATGGAAAATGCACGGAACGACGGGTACACATTTAATCTTATTTCCATCACTATACCTTAGCCGACCCGATATTCTAAAGTAAATTAATGCCTATCTATACTACTTTGCACCGTCGGAACGACGGGTAAATACCCTAAAAGGTACAATATGCTATTAGCGTAGAGTTCGCCGTCCTATTCGTCGGAGCGACAGGCACACACCCTAGCAGCGGCGTCTTCGCGCAGCGTTCCATCAAAACGACGTGATATAAACTCACTAAAGAAACTATTTTCGTAGACTTCGCGTACTGAATTCGCGGAAATGACAGATAAATACCCCAGCAAATCGCTTCGTTTATGATGCCTATATATGCAACTTCGTACCGTTAGAACGACGGGTGATGAAATGAAAAGTTGACGAAACGTCGAGTACACATTGATTTTCGTATCCATCTTTACCCTAAGTCAATCTAATTATCGAACGTAAGTTAATGGGTTTACAGGTCAAAAGGCAGACCATGTTCGTCGAAACGACGGGTGAACACCCTTACTTTCGAAACGACAGGTACGCATTGACCTTCATACACATTACCTTTGAACGAATCAATTACCCAAGTCAATATACGATCAGCTTCAAAATTGTGCACCTATCGGTCGAAACGACGGGAACACCCCTATATATGTATTAATCGCATAAAAACCATGTCCGTCGGAACGACGGGTACACACCCTAGTATTAGTTATAATAATATTTTTATTGACGCTTCATATAAGTGTCAATATTATGTAACGGGCTCACCCCGTTACAGATGCAGTAAAGTCAAGACTGACTAATATTTACTAGAATTTAACTAAATACAAATCTAGCTACTGATTGGTTTATTATGCAAAGATTGGATTCGCGTCTTTTTAGATGCGTATCCCTACGTGCAAGCTAAATTATATTTAAGCTCGCTGATGACGTCCGTCTGAAGCGTCACCATGACGCCTAGTCCCCATGGGCGTCATCCCCGTTGATGTTGAATCCATCCATGGATATCACATTCACGAGGGTGGGTCACATTGATGTGTCTCACCTAAGTGGCAAGTCTAAGGTACCACGCTGAACACCCTAGTTATTTTTATAAATAAAAGAGGTCAGGTGTAGAAAGTAGACGTAATGACCTTAATGCAATAGAGGAAATATAAATGTATGATATATTCAGCGTTAACTACTCCCGTTTGTCAGCACTACAACATGCATCTTCAACGGCACCGTGTCACATGGCATATGGCGTCCGTCTGGTCTGCCCATCATCTTATGATGGTACCACGCGGCGGCCGTATTTTTTCGTCTCACATGTCAAGTTGTCGCAAAACATCCTATTAGATGAGATCGGACCTTACCTGTCATAGGTCTTGCACTTGAATTTGAACCTCGTAACCGCGACGACCTGCCAGAAACAATACCTTCTAATAAAAGGCCGTGTGGTCCAACCGCTCCGTGTCCTGCCTTGCAATGATTTGTTTTTGCCGAAGTTGGTTGCAAAGATGAGATGCGAAAACCACATCAGAAAAAATAGTAACCGTGTATTTACTAAAGCATACCGAGGATTTGATGCGAATAACTGCTAGATTCACACTTTTAAAAGCGAAAAGGTGCCGGACGTGACCATCGACGTTGAAGGTTATGACGTGGCGATTGATGTTGAAGCTTCCTAGACGATGCTGCGAAAGTCCGTACCTACCACAGACAAAGAGTTGTACTCAATACGAGCGCATGATACGTCAACATTTTCGTTGCTGCATATATATTGCAGCGAATTCGCTGCTGTAGTAGAAGAGGTTGTTGTTCTCCTGTCGGGCAAATGAAGAACCTTTACATCTGAAAGGACAACACGTTGCTACCGAGCTACTTTGTGCTCGAGTTGATACTATATTATGGCATGGCAAAATAATTGCACTGATATCGATTGACAATTTCACGAATATAAAGTCGAAATTCGACTCATCAACAGATGCTACATTCGTAATTACTTCTCACTGCTGTGTACCACACCATCTTTTCTTGCTTAGACTTGAGTTAAGTATGCTGGAATGTTCGAGAATCCTAAATAGGATTTAGCTTTGTGCTCGACAAAGTGGAATTTGACTGGGGCAAGCGGCGCCAGGGTAGAGCATAGCAGTTCAAGTGTGAGGATACACTAATAGAGACGAGGCTCGTATTATGACGAATGCGACTGCTGAAGAGTTCAAAACACAGGGCAATGAGTTGTATAAGCGCGGGGACTACCGACGTGCCATCGACAAGTATACGCAAGCCATTGATGCTGCCCCGACTATTGTGGCTTATTATGGGAACCGTGCCGCCGCTTCCTTTATGTTAGGCAAGCACAAGGATGTTGTGACGGACTGCAATCGTGCCATTGTGTTTGATCCGCTCTATATGAAGGGCTACGTACGGAAAGCCAAGGCACAGCTAGCAATGGTACGAAATATATGAATGAAATGTTAATATCTTGTGGTAATAATAACAATTATTAATGATATTTATTTTTAATTTTTAGGGGGATAATGAAGCAGCTATGAAGACGTATCAGACGGGTCTAATACGTGATCCAAACAACACGACGCTATTGAATGAAAAGCGCGCGTTAGAAACGGCACTTGATAAAGTGCATCGTGGTAAGGAATACCTTGCAGCCGGCAAGTTTTCACAAGCCGTGACGGTGTTTGACCACGCGGCGCAGGTGTGTACGGGCTCCAATCAAATTAAACTGCTGCGTGGAGAAGCGCTGATTGGCTGTGAACGCTACGACGAAGCTTTTGCAGTACTAACGCAGCTCATGCGCACGGATTCAAGCAGCCCGGAACTGCTGTTTCTACGTGCACGCTGTCTTTACTATCAGGGTGAGTTTTCCAGTGCAATTAAGCATTTACAGCAGGCATTGCGCTCGGATCCAGACAATAGCAAGTGTATGAAGGAGATCAAGCGGATCCGCAGTCTGGAGACCAGTAAAGAGGAGGCTAATGATGCTTTTAAGACTGGCAAAATGGCTGATGCCGTGGAGATGTACACAAAGTGTCTGATGATTGACCCACAAAACAAGGCCTTTAACTCGAAGATCCACTGCAACCGAGCCAATGCACTGTCGCGTCTGAACAGGCATGAAGAGGCTATTAAGGACTGTGACAAGGCTATCTACTATGATCACGGATATGCTAAAGCATACCTCCGCAAGGCTGCTTGTCTGAAGGCCCTTGGTGGTCTAGAAAACCTGGAACAGGCGCTGCGTGTGTACGACCAAGCTTCGAAACTGGTAGGTGATGATGCTCAGCGTGATATCCAAAGCAACATTCGCCAGACCAAACTAGACATCAAAAAAGCAAAGCGCAAGGATTACTACAAGATATTGAACGTCGCGCAGAACGCCTCAGAGGCCGAGATTAAAAAGTCGTACAAGAGGATGGCTTTGAAGTTTCACCCGGATCGTCATGCAGGCAAGTCGGAAGAACAGAAGGCAGAGGCCGAAGCTGCCTTCAAGGACGTTGGCGAGGCGTACGCGGTGCTGTCGGATACACAAAAAAGGCAGCGCTATGATTCAGGAGTGGATCTTGAAGACCTCGACAGTGACTTTGGCGGAGGTGGAATGGGCGGCGGCATGGGTGGTGTTGACCCCTCGCAGATTTTTCAGGTGCGACAACAGCAGTCGTTGGTATATCGTGACTTATCCAATGCTTTTACTGACTTATTCTGTGTCATGTAGATGTTCTTTGGCGGCGGTGGCGGTGGTATGGGAGGTATGGGAGGCATGGGAGGTGGCATGGGCGGCGGCGGCATGGGGGGCCAGCGATACCACTTTGGCTAGAAAGAGAACTTGTAGGCTCTGTGTGCGCGTGTATGTTCAGACAAAGACGGGAGAGTTGAATGGCTGTCCTTGACGATGAGAATGTTCGTGCGGACTGCTATAGGGCTGTAGCACTTAACAGGATAGCAATGATATCATCTTCAATCTTTGTGGTGTTGTTTTTTCACAGTAACGCTTATTTATCCCCGAGTTCTCATCCATTTATTAATTGAGACCGTGAAGTGCCCGATCATAATCATTGTCCAAGATGGCAGCAACATCAACAACATCAACAACATCAGCTGTTCATGTCGACTCACAAAAGCGTTTGCGCACCAATAAAGTAGGTGAATACATTGGCGCGTCCGAGACGCAATGTTTCAATGAATATAAGGGTTTCAGCCTTCCAAATGACAATTTTGCCATTGAGCGCGTTCCTGTTGGTAGCGTGACACCAGAGGAATTCTTTGCCAAGTATGTGTGCACGCGGACGCCCGTGATTCTGACCGGTTATTTGCAAGATGAGGAGTTCACTGCTCCGTCCAAGTGGTCCAAGTCAGACGACCGTTTGATTGAGCTTGCAGGTGATACAAAGCTGACGGTTGAACGTCGTGGAGATATCCACGATAAGTTTGGCAAAGGAATGGCAGTAGAGATGTCGCTCCGTGAATTACTCAATCTAATCGCTTCAGGTGATGAAATGCATTACTTGACGACGCAGGAGGTGGCGTTCGAAGAGGATGGCCGACCTGATATCATGGCTCCGTTCATGAAGCAGCTGCAGCAGGACTTCCCTTTACGCCCCAAACTGATGGGCCACTTGGTCCCGCAGAATATTAATATGTGGATGGGGAACACCAAGCTCGGATCGTCATCAGGACTGCATCATGACCATCATGACAATCTGTACATTTTGATGCGTGGCAAGAAATGCTTCCGTCTGTACTCACCGGGGGATGCTGACAAGATGTACGTGCGCGGACAGATGGTACACGTGCATCCGAACGGTTTGATCAACTACGTAGGAAAAGAGACTACGTCTTACGGCGCTGACCCGGCCGCGGAGAGAGAGGCACTTGCTGCGATGGAGAAAAATGAGGCAGAACGTGAGTTGGTTGAGGCTGAAAAAGACGTGAAAGCTGGGAAACCGGGAGCTAAAGCTCGTCTTGAGGCAGTCGAGGAGCGACTGGAAAAGGCCATGTTCGGGGTGCTGTGTGCAGACAATAGAGAGGGTGAAGGTGATGAGAAATTCGAAGGTGAAGCTTTCCACTTTGAGGAGAATGAGGCTGAGGGAGATGGCGAAAGCGAGATTAGCGAGCTGGACGAAATCGCACTGGACCCCGAAGAGGAAATGGAGAAGAAGACGACTGCAAAGCGGGAAATCGACGAGACTGAAATTGCATACCCAGCGAATTTCAGCCAGGTTGACGCATCCCGGTTACGTGATGGCAAGCACGCGCAACAAGAGTTGCAATTAGAGTTTCCCAAGTTTGGTCTAGCAAAGGTAGCGATCTGCGATTTAGAGGTGGGGGAAATGTTGTTCCTCCCTGCTTCGTGGTTCCACGAGGTTGAGTCATACGGCTCAGCGCAAGGAAATGGTCACTTAGCCTTAAATTATTGGTATCAGCCGCCGGACCAGCTTTCGACGGAGCACTTCAGTATGCCATATTCATCGCCCTTTTGGCAGCGCGATTGGGAACAACGCTTTGCCTCCAAGGGCAAAGAGTGAGCGAGCTCGACTCGAGGAGGACTAGAGCTAAGATTGACTGTATCCCTTGCAGACTTTTATTAATTAGAACAGAATTGAAGCAAGTACATGTCGTCCCGATTCGCTACTACCGATACATCACGTGCGCCTGCGCTGACGAGAATGACGCCTTTTCCATGCTTATAGTTTGGGGTGTTTTCATCGGGAAGCCTCGAAATTGTTGCTCGCTGCTCAAAGTGTTTCAATTACAGCAGAGAAGACCATCGTACTGTGTGCTCGGCATACCCTATTAATCAAATCCATGGTAGCGGCAACGAAAAGCCCGGGACACATTTTGTCTTCCTGGTATCCAGGACCTGATGGAACCACGAAACTGAATTGTCTTGGACCTCGGTCCACGCTAGCAATTCGCCCTTCTATCCATCGTAAGAGTTTCGTGAAGTGACGTTATGACCAGAACCTTTTCGATTGCTGTAACTTTGAAATGGTCATGACACTATTATCTGAATTGCTTGGAGGGCGCGTGTGCCCCGCGTTTGTAAACAACCGCATAGCTTGATCCGCTTATGACGTGGGAACCACCCGTCGTGCTGTTTTGGTCCCTCACCTCAATTTATATCGCTGATTGCTTCCGTACTGATGGCCAATTTGTTTGCAAGGATCTGGAAAGTGAAATTGTCACGAAGATGATCAGGTTTGCCAGCCTTACCGCCCTGATAACCCGCTCAAAACGTGTATGATATGGGGTGGGATTTCACGTGCTGGAAATGCCATTGCACGTAGAGCCCCCAGCATCTCTGCTAGCGATAGTTTACGTTATCGGATCCCGTCTCGGAAGTTTGCTGCCTCCATGGACGAGAGAAAACATGCCATGTATTTGATAAACATGTGACCATGAGGCTGATGCATTGCAAAGCGCAGACAACGCAACACGATGGCTAGTAGTGCATAGTAAACTCGATACAGTATACAGCTGATTGTTTCGTTCTAGCTGGAAGGTATCATCAGTAATAACACCTTGCTCCGAGCTTCTAGAGGTTTGATTACCCTTACCGGGAATATCAATGTACTAACTGATAAACGCAAAAGCGTCCTCAGGCCAAACACTTGAACATAATTATGGACGCTTGTTTGTCAAGGGTTTTAGTTCACCGTTTCTAGTGATCTTTGCTCCTTATGAAAACAGTTGTGTTATGATTAGGTCTCATTCAGCTTCCCCATTCGTTCGAGCAGAATGACACAAGAGAGATTTAGCTGAACGTTGACGAGCCAGGGTGGCCGCATTGGCGAATGCCGACACAGCAGCTAATGGGGAACTCGTATCTCCTGTAGAAGTTTGAGAGCCATCAATGACGGAATTCTTTGCGTCGTTCTTCGCGAATGCCGAAGTCTGTTTATGACTTCTCGTCTTCGACTGAGCTTTCGAGCCTCCTTCTTCCCGCAGTTTCCATCGACTGTGTGGCCTTGATTGAGGAGACTCATCATTCTCTAAGCAACGCCCTGTTCTCTTTTTACCGAGTGAAGGTATTGAGGTTGCCAAGACCAAGCGTTTTCGAGAAGCTGAGCGAGGTCTTGGTCTCAAGTTCGTAGAAGCGTTGCGAATGGTTTTGAACTTCACTCCCTTTCTCGAGGCGGGAGAATAGCGCTTGATGGAAGGAGAGGCTGCTATAGCTGGTAACAAATCGTCCAGTTCCGAAACAATCCACTGGGGGCGTGTCAGCAGTCGAGATTGGTCGTTAAATGCTACTTTTCTGCTAGCAATATCGTTGCTGAGAGATACTTGAATGTTTGGTCCGCCACCGTAAAGGTGTAAGAAAGAGACCCAAACTTCCTGGCTAACAATTCGATAATCTCCTCCAACGTGACTTCCTCTGCTTCGTTCTAGGTTAGGCTTGGATACTAATTCACCATTCACGAAGTCCAGGAGTATGTAATTCGCCACAGGCCCTGGTCGAGGAGGTCCTGCCATTTGACACTTCGCAGTCGATTTTTTCTTGCGTGCTCCATTTCTATAGCTCTGGTACGATAGTCGCGTGGTGTTTCGCGTTGATGCATCAGCTTCAGCACTGGCTGGATCCACACGAACATACCGCAGCCACAGCTTAAGCCATGCCGAGCTGATGACAAATTGCCTGCTACCAAGATTGCCACGCGGATTCATCTCTGAGTGCACTAGTGAAGACGTTCGGGCATTTAGAATTTCGTCCAGTTCTTCTGCCGGAGTGACTAATAGACGAAGAGGCATATGGTGCGTACTTTCACGAGCACATTGATCAAGTTGCAACGCTTTCGTGGACGCAGTGGTTGAGTCTTCATCCTCCATATCGCTGTCAGTAAAAGCCAAACCAGTACGTCTCAACCACGGAGAGGGGCGTTCCACCTCCACCTTAACCACCGACTGTGGTAACGATTTCGACATTACTGACGCAACAGGCTTACGCCGTCGTGCTGAGGAGACAGCTACTGTGAAGCGCTTTACACGAGGATCATCTTGTCCTGCCATATTGCGTAATGTACTTGCACACGCACTACATGTGCGCTGAGGTGCACCGTCCTTAATGAGTCGGTGCTGGCTGGGTGCTGATCCAGCAAACGGTAAATACGTTCGATCGTGTGAGCAATTTGCACACGCGAGATGTCCGCATAATCTGCAGTGATGTCGTCGACGCGTGAGGGTAAATGCTGCTAGGCAAATCTGGCAGCGAGTACTTGCCGTATCGGGGACCCAGTTTGCTGCAGCTTCCGGGTGAGAATAATAGCAGTGCGGCTCCATCTTCCACGGGTAGAACGAGATAGAGTACATCACGGTAGCTTGGCTGGTTTTGGTTTTAGTGGTCGGGGCATGTTGGTTTCGAAGATGCACTGAGGACTTTCCACTTGACGATATTTCGGCATCGTCGGTCTCGTCCCCAGTATTGATGTCACTTCCAGCATCCCAACGGAGCAACTCGTCAACTCGGTCCCGATGTTTCGTTGGATTGGACAACACCTCGGCCACAGTTTTGCCATTGTCGACATTTTCGTCGTCGCTTGATCGTGAAACAACACTAATGCGCTGAATGGAGTCCAAACTGCTATCCTGCTGTGCATCAAGTCGAATGACCGACTCATTTTCTGAACGCTTCGTGCGCGGTCGGAGGGCGTTCAGCCCTGCAAAGAAAAAGCTCGAAGTCTTGAAGAGGGTTTTTTTGTGCGTCCGTGCCGATGGCATGACGAGGGGCTGGGATGCCCGACGATGCGATTCGTGTTCGTCCGACATGTACGAAAGTTCTTTGTGATGCCAGGAGAGAAACCCACACAACGACCTGCGGAAAGACTAAGGTGCGTGTTGTGCACAGGCGACGAGCACGTTAAAAGTGAAGTAACCGAAGGCTTTTTGCGAAAACGCGACAGTCTTCGTAGGCAGCGTTCGTTTCAATGTTCTTGAAAAAAGACGCCGTTGCCGTCACCGTTTTCACCAAGTTGGACCTAAAAAGTCAAGAGAGATAGTTTGCGTCAAAACATTGGAACATTACATCTTTAGTGGTGTCAGTGGTTCTCAGCTCTCTCCCCACTTTGGAGTTGGCAATCGATCGTAAAACGATGTTAATGCCCTTCATGAAACGATTTTGAAGGTTCTTGAAGTCTTCCACCGTTATTTCTTACACATGAGTCTTCTTAAATCACGAAAATGAAAACCGGCTCCACAGGTTTTCGACTATCAAGATTGAACTAGGATGGATGCACAGGTGCATTTCTTCGACATACACCGTCCGAAGTCCATAAAATCCTCGACGAAAACGCAAAGTTTAAGGATTAGGCTTCAACTCGAACACGGTTGGATGTTTTATCGAAACAGTCCACCTGGAAAACGCAACAAGTTAAGCACATTTCGTGAACTAGCCGGTCATTTACTTTTAAGTAGATTTGTTGTCAGGAGGGTCTGCACAATACCATCGAGTCAAAGTAATGAGATGGCGTCGACAACGAGCATGGGTGATGATGACTTCCCCTCTTACGTGATCAAAATGTGTTTGTTTATTCTGTCTTTACTGCGGTCAAGTGGTCGAGTAGGGTTCCTATGCTCGATGCTCGCATTTACAAGGAGCATCAACAATACCATTTGCTGAGCAGAATTACGCTCACTAACCAGAGCGCCAAAGAGGTTGATAAGATATCGTCGCCATTGCATGCATCCAAAGCTATTAATTTAGCTGGTTTGTGTGTCTTTGTCAAACGCTAGACATGAAAAGCTGACCGCTTACTACTTCCAGGTGACATTACAATTCTTACGCCTGGTAGGAGGCATTAGTATGCGTTCAATCATTACATTTAGAAAAGTATGAGTCGTAGCATTCTCGACAGATAGCGTCCGCTGTGGATGGCTGAAGTCTTCGTTGCAAGTCTTGAAAAAACCTCTAGAAGACACGCCTTACGGGTGTCGTGACTCGCATTGAGCTACAAACGAGATTGTCCGTTCTTATCGATGCTCAAGCACACTGGCGAGTAGTTAACGGCTAAAAGATCATGCGCAACGGACATGCGCATCATTATCTGGAGAGACAGACCACGCAGCCATTTCTCTACCTCGTCGGTGAAGCTCGGGTACGTGACAAAGCGTGAAAGCAGAAACGGCACCAACTACTACAAATCGTTATCGTCTCGTTTGGTCGAGAATTCGATGCTGAAATTGCGTACGACCGAGACAAGTGGCAGTTCCGTATGTGACGCGAAGATGGAAGTGTCGACGTACAGCCATCGAGACAATGTCCTACGTATCGAGTCCCGATCATCTGTCGTGTTTGATGAGGAATAGTACTGCCTGCTTTTTTTCGACGCGTGGTACGATGAAAGGTGCAGAAAGGAGTAGCCGACGATCGGAGTAAAATGTTGACCGATTCTTCGCCATCGTACTAAAAGACGTATGTGCGAATGGATTTCAATTGGACCGAACCAATTCATCCTGCTCAACAATCGAGTGGGTTCGCTTGAGAGCTGTAAGGAAGGGCTCTTTACTTCGAAGCTTAACGATGCACCATCTCAACGTCATTATCCAGTAGCGGAGAGCTCACAAAACTTGCAATCGTTGTAAGGCGGACATCTACGCTCCAGTGATATATAGGCAAACATCCAGAAGTTGCACATTGGATCAAAGCAATACTTTTTCGAACGAACGCTGCGTTCAAATAAGATGAACCAGCAAGCATCACTCTACGATTGTTCATTGCAAGGCTAGTGGTTGCTTACAAATTGCATCGACTTTTTCGTTAGAGACTGCTCGATTTCTTGGTCACACCACATTTAAAAGCATGTTGCCTTTTTATCGCACTCTATTCACGTACAATTCCTTTATTATTCTCTCTATTTTACCGCATTTTGACTCTATTACACTATTTTATCGTCTAAAATTATGGAGCGTCAGAAGGCATCACGTGTTGCGTCGACTTCTGTGTCTTCCGTTGCCTCTACTACATCTACATCACCTTCTATGAATGTATATATCAACTCCATGGAACGTAATGATAGTACAAGTGAAGAGACGACTTTTTCTTCTTCTTCTTTTAACGCTCTAAACATCATCGAAAGCGATGAGCAGGACTTCAACGCTGAAGCTTTGGCAGAAGTGGCTACGAGTGGCATGGAAATGAATCTGGAGGTACCAATTCGATCATTTCTGACTCGAAATGAGGCAGAAGAAGAAGAAGTAAAAAGTAAACAAAGTGCTTATGAAGTGCTACGGAACGGAGCAGTACATTATTCAAGACGAGAAGATAAAATACGTGAACTCCAGAAACATCCCGTTGTGGCCTTCATAGCAGCTGATGGACGTACTGTTGGTTGTAAATGTGGACGTAACGTTCGTCTTAATCCACCGTGGTATATTCTCAAGTTTGAGCAGCACGTTGCAAGTCGCAATTGCACGTTCTTGAGACAGAACAATAAGAAGAGAAAGAGAGAGAAAAGAGAAGCTGATGGAAGTTTGGAAGAGCTTGAAGAGAGTGAAAAGGTGGCGCACATAGACTCACGACAGGAACAGGTAGTAGAAGGTGGAGATCAAGACGACGGCGAGGGAACCAACAATTACTCGTTGCAGTCAGTAGACGTCATACTGCAACGAGAATTTGGACTTGTAACAAATGGACAACAGACAATTGGACCGCCTTCAGACACTTTGTCACAGGATCGGCTACGGATGTTTAAAGGTGCTGTGGTGCTGCGAGATAATCCGCAGTTTAAGCGGATCACACCTGACGGAAGGTTTGCGGAGTGCAAGTGCTCACGGATTATATTGCTTAGCGCACCCTGGCACCCTGGACAGTTTTTAATGCATGTGGCAGAAAAGCAGAAACCCAAGAAACGAGCGAAAACTGCTTCTGCTGTAGTGAAGAGTGTTGAGCGAAAGAAAAGGGTTTACGCGTCTGGCTTATCATCCTCGACTGCAGGAAGAAGTGTGGTTTCATTGGGTCTGCCGATGAGACCAACTATCGCAAATGCATTTCTGCAGGCGCACAAGGTGAAAAAGAGTTTTCCACGTGAAATTCGATGGGACATTGCTCGGGCACGTGGGTTACTCCCATGCCCTGGGCTTAGAGATGATCGCATGAAAATGTTTGTGACATCTGCCATTCAGCTCACAGGAGGTGCACGGTATCGGCAGAAAATTGCTCGAGAACTTTTTCCTCATCTCTTCTTGGACAGCTCAGAGTATGACCCCACTGACGAAGTTGATCATGAAGTGGAGCTGGATCATTCCGACAGTCAAAGTTCTTTAAAGAAGCGACAACCCAAGCTTCAGCAGCAGCTTCTCGAGGCCGAAAAATTACTGCTGCACGATGTCATTGAGGGTGAAGCACTCTGGTTCGTGGACAAAGACGGCAACTCGGTGCGCAGTCTGGATTGTCTTGGCATTGTTGATTCGGGTAAAGGCGATACCCGATGCGCGTCATGCACTATGCTTCGTAGCAATGCAGCTTTGAGAACAGCTGCGGCAACAAAATACAAGAATGCGATGCTTTCTGGACCGCCTCGCAACCCGATAAATAGAAAATTCTGTTCTGGATGCGTGTGCTCGCTGCTTGAAGCCGAATTCGATATGCGAGAGCCTTTCGCTCGAGTACTTCGTGATTTGGCTCTCGCTAATATCCCTAGTGCATTGAACACATGGATGGAAATGGCTACGATGGGACTCTCAGGCGTCTTTGATACTCACCCCGCACTGCTCGGCTTAACCGAGGCAATGGTGCGATTGAAGGATAAGGAACAGCGCGGTGTGGGCTTACAGAACATGACGTACAGCAATCTTCTCGATACGTTCATGAGGTCACTTGCCGACTTATCGCCTGATGCTTGTGAGCTCTTTCAGAAGCATTTGGGAGGACGAAAGCAAAGACAGTTGCAAGCAGTAGCAGTAAAATCTGTAGTGCCTAGCAGACGAAGGCTGCAACTCCAAACAAGCAGTGATGTGTCCCAGACAGGCCAAGACCAGCAGATAGGTGAACCCTTTTATGATGGTGTTGGGAATTCAGCAACTGCTGTGCGCGTAACAAGTGACGAGGGTTTTGTGCACTTGTTGGACCCATCCGTTGTTGGCTTTGAAATGCCTTCTTTGTCCATTAACGATATCCAAGACGTAGACCTGAGCACGTTTCCTGCATCTTCGGCGATACAACTGCATGGAAACCAATCCAATAACCTTGTTCATGATGATGAAGTGATCTTATCTGTGTCACCAGTCGTGGCGGAGTCGGCCCTTTCATCCGAGTCCAACCCGGTAATTGAACAAGCTTGTAAGGAATCCGAATGCCAAGGCGACATTCGTATAAACTTAACAACCGAAACTACGAGCCTAGAAGTCGTCACGAGCGTGGCAAGACAGAATTATGATGACGTTACGGATGAACCTATAGAGACCGAGGGGCAAACGGAGAGTGACTCTGACGCCGTGGCATTCCTCACCGAACTTCCATCACCTAAAAACAGCAGCAAGACTAACGATGCCTTGATGCCAAGCGACCATGTACCGTGCACAGGACTTCGTGATGAAAATGTGCAGGCATATGTTGCTAATGCTGTCCAAATTGTTGGAGGTAGCCGACCTCGCTACGTGATTGCACGTGAGCTGTTTCCACAGGTCTTCGGCAATGACAAAAAGGTTCGCATCGTCGACAAGCTGAGTAATGAACAGCGGCTAATTCTGCAGGATGCAGTGTTCAGCGAATGCCTTTGGCGTGTGGACAAGGAAGGTCGTTGTGTTCGAAGTCTGCGCTGCAAACGATTCGTACCAGCTCCCAGAAACCACGATCGTGGCAGTTCCCAGAGCCAAGGCGTTTGCCGTGCCTGTCGCGATCTGCGTACCGTACCGAACTTCCGCAGCGTGCTTAGCCGCTCTAAGATGCCGAAGAAACTTGAAAACATCAAGTATGTGCCCAGTGTGTACACTGAAAGCGATCCATTCCTGCGCAAGTTGTCGAAGAACTCGGCATTCCGTGGACTCTACCAGTGTGTCAAGAGCATGGTCGGTCAAGAGCTTGAAAAAAGTAGCGACGTTGGTAACGAGCGACTGAAACGAGTGCACTTTTGGTTGCGCTTTGCTCGCATGGGCATCTTTGGGCATTTCAAATCGCATCCTGTCTTTGAAGGATTGATGAAGAGCATGGTGGAGGTGAAGGATAAGGAGCGCCGTGGTGTAGGTAAACAAAATATGCAGTACTCGCCGGCGCTGGATGAATTCATGCAGAATATGGTGCAGATATCCACCGAAGCATTCGAACTTTTCGCTGCCAATTTCTGCGGCCGGACTCTGCGATCCCAAAAAGTCAAGCGGCGAACTACTCCGGTGTTCACGACGCCAGCGAAGACGGCTGAACTACCTTCTTTTGAAGGCAACAGCGGTGGTGTGGTATTCACAGCTCATTCACCGATTGCCCAGTCCCAACCTTATCAGCACCAGCATTATCTCATGGCGCCTGATGATCTACTCAGTGGACGAAATTTGTCTTCTGAGGAAAGTCAGCGCTTTATGGATTGCATGCTAGACGAGGTGCGTCTTTCAGTGAGCCGTGAAATGCAATTTGTCGCAGAGGAAGAGCGTCGCGGTGTTGGAAATGCAGGCAACATCCCGGCCAATTCTGCTGAGCATGAGCAGCAGACTGACGAAGGCGACGTTAACCATTATAGTCCGGAGACGTATCTGAACGACGAAGGAGTGCTCGTTACAGAGATTTAAATCCCGAGGTACACGAATCAACAGATAACAATGATATTATGCAGGAAGCGCGGGCACGTTGTACAATAGCTTTTTGAGCTCATTGCGGACTCGTTGGTCACTCATCCTTCGCATTCACACGTCTTTGGATGGGATATCACACGCGCGCTTTTCTTGTCCAGGCTTCTTCTCGAGGTGCTTGGATATTAGCCCCATTACCTGCGTGAAGCCGATGTGTTCCACTCGAAAGACGTCCTTCATCTCTTGGTTGGGGCGGATTACCCGCCCGTCCTTGGGGTCCTGCAGCTCATGCTGCTTCACATAGGCCCAACTAAACATACAATACAACGGTGAGTTTACAGAACTTTATCAACCAAGACGTGGTGACACACAATTCTTTGATGGCGGCCGGACGAGTGAGCTCGCTCTTGCCCAGCAGGTGGCTCAATGAAGGTGACAGCTTGTACAAGTTCTTGGACGTCATCGTTGCTCAATTTATGCGGACTTCTGTGTATTTGATTGCATTCTGGGAGTACTTACGGACTCGTCGCAGACGGGAGAAGGCGCAGACTTCGAGAGGAACCACTACAATACAGTAGTGACAACATGTGGACATCGCTGATGGAGAGCGTACAAGCCCACTGGCAATGAAGACGGTCGTGCCGAAAAACGGAATTGTTGAAGCCGCTGTCGAGGACATGGTACTTCACGTCTCCATCTTAACTCTGGAATGTCTGATACGCACTTGGTTTGTAATTGACCAGTAGACGCGTTCGCGACAGTTTTCAACACATACGTCCGCTGACCGACTTGAAACGAACCTCGTAAACAGCACAATATTTTTTGACCACGAGCGCAATTCCGTGCTCTTTGCTGACAGGCTTGGGGGTCGGTCATCATTCGCTGTTGTAGATTGGAAAGTCTGTTAAGCTTCTGCATGTGCGCGTCTTATAAACCGTCCAATTTTCGTATCAACCGTTTCAATCAAACAGTTGATTGTCTCGACAAGTTTCGTTCGTTCAATGTGGTGCGTCTTGATTAACAATATGTACATCTTGGCCAACCCGTTGTTTCTCTCGACAAGTTTTGCCCGTTCTGCAAATGTGTCTTGATAACAACGTATTGTACATCTTGTCCACCCTGTTGCCCCACACTCATACCCTGCAATACAGAAAGTTCAGTAGAGCTATGAGTGCGAGTTTCACGCAAGGTCTATTCAAGCTCCACGATACGTGCGCGGAGCCTAGCGTTTTCGACAGCTCCCATGTCGGTGCAGTGTGATTGTGAAGCATGTTAGTGTAAGATGTCCTGCTGTGTAAAGATGGCAAATGAAGACAGAGTCCTTTTCTATAGATGGCTTTAATCCATATAAATCGTATAGCTAATGCTGTAACTGCGCTTGATACGTGCATTCGAGCAAATTCTGAGTTCTTTGCTTCCAGGCATTAATGAGTTTGCAAGCTCAGGACTATTATGCAGGTGCGGAGCAAATTCAGCGTCCTGTGGCTATTGACTACACACATTTGATTTCGGACCTACACTGCCATGGCCAATGCATGAACTTGCTTGACGTCCCTCGTAAAATCGAACAGCCTACTTTCTAAAACTCTATATGCTGTTGAACATTAAAGCTGGGGAAGAAGAGAGAAGAAGAGAGAAGATGTAGTCAAAAGTGATGGAGAACTCACACGTACCGATGATAATCGTGCAGCGATCGACCCTGCACGATGGTGTTGACCATCGAAAATTTGAAGATGAAATATATATGAGTGATGTCCGGGTTGGTAAGCGAATAATAGCGTCTCCGTTGGCTTTCACACCGTCCAGCGCAGCCCTCAATATGCAAAAGGAATACATGATACGCCCATACTTTCGCCTGTGATTCGTATCAGGTCTGACGAAAGTAAGGTCGTAGTGTGGCCACATCGAGGTGAAGGTGCTTGTCACATTTGTCTTAACCTCACTGCACGAGGTTTTCTCGACCTACTACTTGGTACATCTCCATGCAAAGTAGATGATGATCACCGAACGTCCCAAGCGGGATCCTCTCGCATTGGCCGCCGATAAAATAACTTGCCGGACATCCGCATCCATCCCTTCTCAACGCTTTCAACTTCACTTGACAAATCACCCGTTGTCATTATCCACTCATGCGCACAAAATACATTGACCAAGCAAGTCATGAGCCCGTCTCGTGGACTTCCGTTGCTCGATGTTTTTCCACCTGCCAGCGAGTTCAATGAGCGACACGTTATAGACAACAGCACCAACATCGCCATGTCCAGAAAACGCTTCAAAACCTCTAAATGATCATATCTAGAGCTCCACAAACAATGATGCAGCCCTGATGAGATGAATTGATAACTTTCGTGTGAATTAGTGGTTGTTGTACTTCATGGGTATGTGAATGGAAAACTATTCGTTTCGATAATGGCTAGATGACTTTCCCAAAGGGTCTTTCTCGGACGCATCCGACGTCTTCATGCTACGTCTTTCCAGGTAACGCCTCTTAGCAGCAACCTCTGCTGGCTGGAGGATTCGAGTTGCCAAAACCTCCAGGCCCTGGCGAGCTGGTCATGCCCACCTTGATGCCATGTGCCTGCAACAACATCCACAATCAACATTATGCCAGCTGCCACTTCAAAAACCAAAGCAACAGCAACAAACCTCGTTCGTGACATCGCACACACCCGACTGAATGTTCGAGTAGATTTTCGACGCCGTCTTGACAAAAGCCTACAACATCCCACAACAGCGAAGCACGTCAGTCTCGATAGAAACCTGACATCAAGAAGCATTGCAGGTATCCCGTACATCTTCCACATTGGCAGCCGTTTTCGCCGACGTTTCAAGAAAAATGAGTCCATTCTCCTTAGCAAATTGCTCGCCCTCTTTGAAACTCACAGCACGACGGTGTTCCAAGTCGCTCTTATTTCCAATGAGCATAATAGCCATATTCGAATTGGAATTCTGACGTGCTTCCTCTAGCCATCTCGTCAGATGATTAAATGTCTCTCGTCGGGTTATATCATATACCAATAAAGCTCCTGCTGCTCCGCGATAGTATGATCGCGTGATAGAACGGAACGATTCTTGTCCCGCCTAACAACATCAAAGAAAACGAATCAAACAAGTAAAAAAAAACAGTAAAAAACAGCGTAAAAAAAGGTAGATTTGCTTTGCTTACCGTATCCCAGATCTGGAGCTTAATCTGCTTGTTCTCAATGTTAATCATACGTGCACCAAACTCGACACCAATTGTCAAGTCATGTACTGGCTGGAACCGCTTGTCCGTGAACTGCAGCAATAGACACGACTTGCCCACGCCTAATAATGGGTTAATTAGTATGTTTAGATAATATCGGTATACTTGATAATCATACCGGTATCACCAATGATTATGTATTTAAACAGGTACGCGTACGACATCTTCGATTAAGTATAGAGACTGGATACAATAAAGATAATACAAAACGCAAATGAGTGGTACAAGTCGTGTGAAAGTGTTGAGAAGATACACTTGGGTCGTGTACCTACTTGTGTTGCACGAGAAGTGACTGGAGACGGAGAAACACGCTGGGGACTTTGTAGTTCTCTGGCAGTTGTTGTTTATTCGAAAAAAGAGAAGACTTGATGACTTGATGTTTGTATGAAGAATGGGCGTCTGGATAGATATTACGGGAAGCAATTATACCCTTTGAAACATGATGATAACTCATGATAAGTAGTAGAAGGTACCTAAGTGCGACGTCAAAATATTTACATTTATAGGCTAGATCATGGTCATATACGTGTGTGCTACATCATATTTTTATTCTATAGTCATTAACGTACAGTACTGTAGCAATAGTCATAAGCGGATGGAGAACTATAACATTTATGACGAAATTGGACGTGGCACGCACTCGTTTGTGTACAAAGCGCGACGTAAGCAAAGTATCGAATACGTAGCCGTCAAATCGACTGCTAAGAGTCGCATGGATAAGGTCTGTCGTCTGTACTTTTACGTATTTAAACCTCTAAAAAACCAATAAAACACGTTATAAAAACGCCTCCTATTCCTACATGTATTTAGATCTTAAACGAGGTTCCGTTTCTGCATAAACTCGACAGTCCTTATGTGCTCAAGTTCTTTGACTGGTACGAATCATCCAACCACATTTGGCTTATACTGGAGTATTGTATGGGCGGGGATCTGCTCAATCTCATTACACAGGACAAACAACTTCCCGAAGCCGTCATCAAGGTTGGAATATTACTATTGAGAGGGTCTCTCTCTACTGTTATAAATGACGACTAATATTCTTGTTTATAATATTATTCCTCTTGTAGTCATTTGGAAGGGAACTTGTGGCTGGATTGCAGTATCTGCACGCCAATAGCATTTTATATTGTGATTTAAAACCTGCAAATATTCTTATTGATGAGTTTGGGTCCTTAAAGGTCCGTGCTTGCTGTGAATCTCGTCATGAAACAAAAAATAAACATCATTAACATGTTAAACTGCTGGTGGAATTTTAGCTGGCGGACTTTGGACTTGCCCGACGCATTCCTGGAATCAAATCAGCACCAACACAACCAGTACGAGACATGATTGGACGTTTAATGCTTCTTGTGTTGATCATGTACATTAGCTTACAATGTATTCTCTAGCTTGCACTTGGTTCGCCGCATTATATGGCACCTGAGTTGTTTCAACAAACGGCAGTGCATAGTTTTGCATCGGATTTTTGGGCTCTGGTACGGTTGAGTTCACGCTGATTAGGCTTCTTCTTTTTTTGTAAAAAGATGTAGTGGTTGATTGAATGAGATTGATGCTTGTATAGGGATGCGTGCTGTTTGAACTCCGAACCGGGCGACAACCATTTACACATACTAATTTTGCCGAGCTTGCACGAATGGTTCGTAGCAAAGATGTAGAGAAGGTCGGCTTTGTTTGTTTGTTAATCAGAAACAATTTGTGGTGTGGTCGAGATAGATTCAAAACGATGCAGTGGAGCTTCCCATTCCCGGATGTGAAATGTCGCTTGAGTTTTGCAATCTCTTGAAGCGCTTGCTAGTTAAAGACCCTTATCAGCGGATCACTTGGTGCGTGTTACATTGCATAGTCCTTTTTTTGGCTCGTGCACAAACACAATGCGTCTGACGAGAAACTATTTTCAGGAATGAATTAGTCGGTCACCCATTCTGGGACAGTTTGCCTCGCCTCGAGAATGTTATCATGCCTTCGCAGGAATTATTTGATAGGAAATTGCCGGTATCGCTAAAGTAAGTCCTGCTATCTGGATTGAACTTGCTTATGCAAGCATTGAATGTTGTTTTACTCAGGAATCGTTCCAGCAGGGATAGCGATTTCGAAAAATCTCGGCTCGAAAACAAGTTTTGCACTGAACGAAGCGAGTGACGACGACAATGTGGTTTTCGGTAGCAATTCTAATGGAAATCAACATCCATAGCCATGTGAAAAGAAGACAGCAGCAGTAACAACCCTCGATGGTATCAGATTCTGAAGCTTTGAGTTTCGATTAGTTATCCACGACAATACTACCCAAAACGCTGCCCATGAGGAATCTCTGCCCATATGTTGGACACACAGTCTGTTAAACAACAATGGCGACCTTGACGACCATTTTGAAGATGATTATAGTGATGGATCCAGTCAATTGATGGGATTCAAACATAGTGGCGAATGACCAACGCATCTCATGTTGCACCTCTTGCGATTTGGAGCGCACCAAAACAACAAGTACTACTGAGTAGCATGTTCGACCAAAGTGGTGCACCAAGAAGCTGGCTTCGCAAGATTACAAAACTTGTCTTTACGGCTGCAAATTGCCGTGGAAACGATCATCAGAAACAAGATATTAAGCTTGACGAGTTACTACACGTTCATGCAGAACTTCTTCGGTTTACACTGAAGGTTTGTTGTCATACACAATAGAGGCGATAAAGATCCAATCTAGTCTGTCTCAAGTCTTCGCCTGCTGACACTGTATAGAAGCTCAACATGCCTGCTCTCTCTCAGTTGCCACATTTGACCGACCCATGTAGGTCTATCATCAAGCTTTCAATATGTATGTTGACGCAAAAAGCTCGGGTGTCCAGATCGGACAAGACAAGATGTTAATGCTCTGCTTTGTGCTCGGCTCTTTGCTTCAATTTGCGGCCGTCGTTGCACCATCGTCACCCGAACAGCTACAACCTGCTCGTAAACATCTTGTTGGAAATTGCTGCCAGTCCTCCCAAAAGGCTTGAAGACATGAGAACTATCGGCAAGAATGAGTAGCAGTCTCGATCGCTAGCACTTGCTTGCCTTGGAGAATTGCTACTTTACATACCGACAGAGAAAGAATCCTGTACTCACGTTCGTGGGCTTGCTAGACGTTCCGGACAAGTTCAAATCGTTGCCTTCAAATGCAACATAGCTTAGATATAAGTGACGATAATATGGATGGCGACAGCGTCATTGTCCTGCATGTGCTAAAACACTGTCTGCGCTGCCAGGTAACAATGGACTTGGTCGTGTGCCTGGATGACTGGAAACGTTGACTGTCTAAATGCTGCGAAAGCTTTGGTATCGCAAAAGCAGCCATCTCGAACAAATGAGGATCATGGTCGAACGCGAAGGTCATTTGAAGAGTCCGTTTATCCCAGAGCAGATATTGAAGGCTGCAGCAGCAATCGTGAGTCTTCGCCACACGTCATACTCACGATGACTATAGTACCACTTGAACTAGAAAAGAGCTGGTCGTCTGCAAGGGTGTTTGTTTTGATTCAAGCGCTTGATGAAGGATTAGTAAACCGAAAGGTATATCAATTCTTTACCTACGCGTAATGCTGCTTCGCTTCTTCCCATTGAGTATTGGGGTAGATCTGGAGGTCCAAGCGCTCCGCAACCTCATTCAAGTGAGATGAATCGCCCTCAAACAGCCCCTTGAAGACCACATTCACAATGTGTTCAGAGCGCTCAATGAGCAGCTTGATTTCATGAGGCGTATCTGGCACCAAACGTTCGACAAGGACCGCCAAAACCAAACACACCTGGCACGCCACCACGAAAGTGAAGGCTCGGACAGTTCCACTTTGGTCTTCAAACAAGTTGGAAGTCCACAAAATAAGTGCCGAGTTCGTGCCAAGCGCAATATACGTCATAAATCGTAAAATATGAAACCACACGCCAATATCCTTAGCGGGATGGGGAAACGGCCGGCGGTGAACAAAACAGAGTTTCACAGCATCGACATGGACTTCTAGCATATTGTTAGCAAGTGCTAGCAACGGTGTGAGCGGGAATGCCACCACGAATAAGTTAATGAAGCCATACTGGATGACCATCTCGTTGTAGTCCTCGAATGCCTCATTGGTCTCGTACGGCACCAGTTTAGCCTGCTCTTCAATGTAGTTGTGGCCAACCTTCTCCTCAGTGTTTGCCGCTTTGCGCTCGTCAAAGAGTTGGTAACGGTACTTTAGATACGGGACCGCCACTTCCGTCGTGTTGCCCACCACAATTCGGATCAAGAACAGCGTCAGCAACTGGTCGCGTAACTCCTGCATACAGTCATCTCCATACAGACAAGAGCCTTCAGCCATTCGCTTCACGAAAGCTATATAGAAAAAGGACGCGAATGAGTTGCAAAACTGAAACATGAAAACCTTGATGATCAAGTAGCTTTCGTACTCAGCGTCTGTACGGTGATTTTCAAGGTCATTCAGTATGCGTGCCACATTTCGATAAACCATATTCAGCACCAGAATCTGAATAGCATTCACCACAGTCACACTAAATGTCAGCGAGGTCCGATACTTGGCGCTAATGTGGTGGTTTTTCAAATTGTCAGTGCTGTTGATCCAGTGCTTGAGTACGAACAGACCAAAGAGAGCAACAACCACGATTCCGACCATTAACGTGACGACCAACACGGACACGACAAATGCACGGCGGCGTTTTGTCTTACTTTCAAATGTCACTTCCTCTGCATCAGTCACCGGGTGGTAGCTTTTAGTTCCACGGAACTGAGGGCGGTAGCGGAATGACTCTTGCAAGCCACTTAAACCCCAGAGTGAATCCAATAGACCGTTCTTGCGCCTCCAGAGTTCGGAAAAAAACGACGACCAAAGAACCACAAAGACAGCAAAGGCGATAAGAATGTAGCCTTGATGGTTCGTACCTGTAGCAGCCTGGCGTGCTTCAATGTAAACAAACGTGATAATACCCGCGATGGCGGGGAAGATAAGCATCTTTGTGTAGAATTCTAGCCATGCAAAGTACAGCGCAATTTTCTCTCCAAAGTAGTAGCGTATTTTGTGCAAAGGTTGGTAGAACATGGTCCAGTGAAGAGCCCACGTGTGCCTTAGGTCGTGCAGTGCATCGACGTCGTGAAGTGCGAACATCGGGCCCTCCAAGTATCCAGCTGCCTCGAGAGCATCTGCGTTCACGTGGCGTTCTACAATACCTTCGGCCAATCGAATGCGATCCTTTTGCGTAAACATCGTCTGCTCTTTCTTCTTACCCCACTTGGTCGGGTAGCGTCGGTAGTACGGCTGGTACTTATCCTCCCGGCGATATTCAGCAAATGGCGCAAAGTACGTTAATGGATCGTACGGCAACGCAAAGATCGACGTCCAAAAACGATTCCAGTGACTTCCCTGGACACGACGGTAAGTGTCGTCTTCCACAAACAGACCGTCAGCCTCTTCAGTATGTCCCCACACATCCAGTGCTTTACGTAGCTCTGGATGAAACTTCTCTCCACGTGACACTAACAACGGGTCCATCTCGGGGTATTCTTCATCTTCGTCTGCATAGCCGCGTGTGTGTCGTAAATGGTCAATTGAGTTCTGCCACTCCTTGTCACCCATCTCACGTTGCAGCATCTTGAGCTTCTCATCGTGTAGTGTCTTCGAAAAAGGCTTGTTGCTTACCTGCAGCCTATAGTTGGTGCGATCAGCCTCGGTCCTCAAATCGTCATTATCTGTCTTGATCGTCATTATAATTTCGTCCCCGTCACAGCTCAAAAACATGCGCGTGGTGAGTCCACATGCAAGTTGCACACGTCGTGAAATGGCCGTAGCTACCAGTTCACAAAATTTCGTCTCCGTCGTGGCCTGTGTCGAGCCAACAAACTGTTTGTACTCGTTCTCAAGAAGCTGCTGCTGTGTCTCAAGTCGACGCTGCTCGGCGGTCTCACTGTGGTCGTTGCTCGTGTCCATGACAACGTCACAACCACGGTCGTCCAGGAAGCACCGTGGCGTGCGCAAGACGCGCTGAAACGGGTCCACCACGATCTTATTAGCCCGCTTACTACGCTCCTGGTCCTTACCAATCATGAGATGCACAAATCTGCGCAGTGTAAACTCTTCGGGCTTCTTAAGCTCTCCACCCTCACGACGGGGGAAGACCATGACCAGATCATGGTCGTACAACATCTTGTCACTTCCTAATGGAGTGCCGGTCGACTTGAAAACGGACGTGGATGCCTCCATCTCAATTGCAGCATGTGACGATGCAGAAGGAGATTCCATTGCATCATATGCTTTGTCTCGGTATGCCATGATTACAACAAGAGTGATGGTCTTGTGCTTTCGACTGCAAATGCCAAAGTGAAGAATGCGGTACTGCTAGAGTTTCGATGCTACAACGCAGAGTGTTGAAAAAAGGGCAGATATGCACCTCTGCCTCTAGAAAACTTGAGTAAAAAAAAGACGAAATGACTTGTGATGAAGATGGATGGTAGCCGTCGATATAAATGGTAACCGTCGATAGGAATAGCCGGCACTCGTGCATAAGAAGAAAGTAAACTAGTGTCTTTTACTGGGCAAATTCCAGTGTAGGAAAGTACAAGTACGGAGGGAAACTGACTCCAATCATGACGAAAAAAAAGAGACCGTACGTTTGTGTCCTTGTCTCACCATGATGATACCTTTTGTAATCCTGGCAGAAAGGACGCATTCCACTTATTTTTTTACGAATTTTGAAAAAGAATAATTTGTATTCCTCTAGACTATTATACAGCGTTTAGACAATAATGGATGCTATACAATAGGTTTATTGTATGATCTAACATTTGACTAGGTTTCAGTAAGCTGCTCTGCCGCCACCTGATTTCGGTATTTATATCAATTAAAAGGGAGTCGGGGCATTAGGATGGCGGCGTCTTCAGACATCACGGACGTGTCTAGACGTCACTCCGACGTCTCTCTAACGCATCAAAACTCCAACGACGCAATAATTGAGGAGGTTGGGTCTTTTACAGCCGCAGAGCGACTCTCGGATCCTTTCGGCGACGTCTACGGGGCTGAAGCAGAATTTGGAGACTTTGAAGGCAGTTTTAGAGACCAGGAAACGACTGTGGCTACCTCTATGGATAGAGAAAGCTCGTCTTTGATGTCATTTTCACCTCTAATGGCTCCAGCAGTGGCAATTAGTAGTGAAAACGACCCATCTGTTGACATTACAGGGATTGTCGGTACTGAAAAGGAAGAAGATGAGACAAAGGAGAGAATAGGAGATTCTGAAGAAGATTTAATCGCTGGAAGAGCGGCTACAGTACCGACTTCGACGTCGACGGCAACTTTAGCAATTCTGGACTTGGTATGGGGTAACACAAATCACGAGACAGACGTGAACCGCTTTGCCATATCACCGACGTCTGTGGGGAGTGGAAGGAGCAGATCGGCGTCTACTTCTAGTGGAGCTGCACTGCCCTTATTGACATCGACACAGTTTGCGACGTTCTCGTCCATGGCTGTTGAAACTCCAGAGAACTCAACGGACTTGCTGTCGTTCTCACCACCTGTCGCGGCTTCAGCACCGATTGATCCATTTTTTGGACTTGATCACGATACAAGTGAGACGAGTACAGCGGCACCAGTATTTGACAAAGACGAGGCGTTCACTGTGACAGCAACGCCTCCGCTGTCTACGATATCGTTGTCGACGCCGACTTCGCTGTGCGGATCATTTGTGTCATTGCATGATGATGTAAAGACTCCGGGGCTTTTTCCTTTTACCCCTGGCTCAGTGGAAGTCAATTTGTCGCCGCGTGATCCGTTCGCAGAACGTACGACTCGGTCTTTTCGATCTTTGAGCTCATCATTTGTAAGCGCGGGGATGATGGAAGACAAAGCTGGTCAAAACAAAGTGCATGCGTCAGTCAGCACATTTTCTAGGGATACACTGGAAGTAACGTCGCCTTCATCTGCTCCTCCCTCTTTGCGCAGCTCTTTCAAAATGACGGACGGATTGCCGGGTTTTGCACACGATGCTGATGAGTCAGATGAGGCGGACCCTTTTGCTGAGGCAGGTTTGACAGCCCCAGTGGAGGTGCCTTTGGCTGAGGCCCTCGCGGTGTGGAGGATTGGTGCTGAAAACGTTATGAACGAAGACGGAAATAGTGATTGTGTGGGGAAGTGTACAGAAGAGAAAGATGCTGTGGACAAGTATGGACTAGCTGACAATGCGTCAAATGATAGTGTCGATAGTGCGTCCGTTGTTGAAGGCAAGAACGATGTTTTAAATGTCTCAGACCTGACGAAGCCAGTCGAGATCGAAGACTCGCTTTGTGATTGGACGATCGCAACAGAGCGCAATGAAGCGTTTTTGAATGATCCATTCACAACCAAACATCAGACAGATGATGTCACAGTCCTTCATCCTCTTGCCGTTGCGGAGGAGTCCGACGTGGAAGATGATGAAAATGCCGCCGATCTGATCGCCAATGATAACGAGGTCCATGTCTTTGGTCTGCAAGGCGATGCATCAGATGGCGATGCATTAGATGGCGATGCATTAGATGGCGACGCTTCAGACATTGACAAATGTGATGCCGCGACGACGGCAGCAGAGCAAACTTTAGTAGATGCGAATGACGATCCTTTTCATAGGAGTCAAATCGACACACTATCATTTACAGCTGCGACAACGGACTCGAATATTGAATGTACGAGCCAAAGACTGAGTTCAGGTGATTTCGAGGATAAATGTTCTTCGCTAGATGAGGACGAATTTGACACGTTGCTTACATCCCCGCCTAGTGTTGCAACGGATCTTCGGGATTATGGGGACAAGTCCGAAGAAAATGCCGTAGTAGAAACGACCAAGAATGAGGACCCAACGCTAACGACTGAAGCGAATGATGGCGATAGTTTTGGTGACTTTGGAGGGTTTGAAGCTACATCCGCTACTACAAACACGGCAATGATCATTCCAGATGCTTCGCCATGGGGATCTTTTCCATCACCAGCCCCGTTACATACAATGCCAATCGATGACGTTGATGCCGTTGGAGACGTTGCAGTTTTGTCTACGACTTCTACTTCTGCAGACACTGTGCCTGCTGACGACGGTTTTGGAGATTTTACCCAGAGCACCGAGCCAAGCGGTGATGACGACTTTGATGATTTTGGGGACTTTGAGCAGAGCTCTGCAAACGACGGAGATAGCTTCACAGACTTCCAGCAGTCTTGTGCAGAAGCTTTTGGGAAAAGTGATAATGGGTTTGGCGACTTCACCACAGTCGATGCCTCCACTCTGGCAGCGCCAGCCTCGCTAGTTCCTTCTTTATCGAAGTCCGAGCTGTCAGTATTCTTTGAAGAAGCATTTCCGATGAAGCCTTTACCGGCAATTTTGCTTCTCCAACCGGAAACCCCAACCGAGGTGGAGGACACAGATTCTTTACAACAGAAATCGACGGAGATTGTTCAAGATGTGTTTTGTGACATGTGGAATGAGTATATCTCCACTTTCGCTGGAACAGGTCCCCAGTCGTTTTCTTCATCTGGTGCGCTTTCGACGACTGCAGAACGGAAGGACAGTGATGCGCACGTGCTCTTGAACAGGAACACGAAACATGCTTCAAAATATTTGAAATATGTGCTGTCCGAAAAGATTCAAGAAGCCTCCAAGCAGAACGGTATCTTCACGCATGGTTCTGAAAGACATCAGGTGTATGTAGAATTTGCAGCATCCGGCGATGCAGATCGCATGTGTGCCGCGCTCAAAGAGTTAAGAGATGCGCTGTTCCACAGTTCAGTGCACGACGCAATGATGCGGATTGCCAAGCAGGCAGCACTGTCAGCTAAAGCCAAAATTGCTGAGCAAGCTGCTCAGCAGCATGCAAATTCACGTGGTGGATCCTTGTTTTCCACGACGCGCCACTTGTTGTCACGGAGTGGGAACTCAGGAGGAGCGCATGGTAGCAGCGGCACCGATAGCAACTCGGATCATGTTGGAGCTGACACTCCAACGGGCGTCTCTGTTCAGAAGCTAGCCCGCTACACGTTCACCAGCAACCACGACAACTCCGCCAATGCACACCGTGGTGCAAATAATGGCGAGGAAAGAGTGTCAGATGGAAGTGACCATACGGGATATAGCAGTGGGAGTGATTCAGAAGCTGCATCTAGTGCGGACAGTCGGACTCGAAGCCAAACTTCTACTAGTGGCAGTAGCAATGGTGGTTTGATGAAAAAGTTCCAGAATCGCTTTTCTTTCGGTAGCTCTAGACATCGCCCGCGGTTTGTGAGTCTCCGAAGGAAAGGACAGTCAAGTGAGGAAGTCAGAAAGATGGAGCTAAACCTGGATGCCATCAGTGGAGGCCTCGACGAAGTGAAGTGGAAGTGCGCTCTATTTTTATATGATGTCGAAGAGGTCACGCATGTGGCACCTTCACAAATTAGCATTTTAGCGTATCCAAGCAAACAGCCACTGACAGGCAAGACAAGTCGGAGTGCGTTGACAAAGCTGGTAAAGCCTGACACGATTTGGACTGTAGATATTGGTGCCAACAACAGTGATATGATAAACGAATGGTGATGGATAAACATTGATGAGTTGTGAATCACTGAGAAAATTGTGATTCTCAGGCTAGCTAAACTAGAAAGAGACAATGATGGTTCTCAGACTAGTTTAACCTGAGGGACTCAAAAGACAAGTACACAAAGGGAGTTATTATTTACGAGTGCATCACTTTGAAGCCAGCAACAAGTGGCAAAGAAACGTACGACACGATTGAGATTCCAGCCTGTCTTTTGAATTACTGAAGCCAATTGGCGATAGCGTTGCGGGCGTGAAACCTGCTGTATTGAAACGATTCTTAGCCCAGTCATATAGCAAGCAGCAGCGCGACTTGTTAAACCGTGCATCCTCGTCCTCATTATATCAGCACTTAAAGGTACGAACGAGGGTCCTTCATTGATCTCCAAGGTCGTTGGGAAACTAAGCAACCTTTCAAGTTGTTTGTTAAGCTGACATTCTTGAACTCGTTTCCTTCATTCCATCATCAGTTTCCAAGGGCGATGCCGCAAGTGCTATAGCTGACGCCACAATACATACTGCTTTATCAGCATCAGAAATAAGTCATTGAAATTGCTCACACTTCTCCCGGAGCGTACACTACTCATCGTGGTACTTCTTTAACACAGCATGCTATCCAGATCAAAACTTTTCGAAGTCAAGACGTTACAGGTCGTTACAACTGCGTGTAAAGACACTTTGTCTCTAAAAATCACCGCCGCGTGGCGAAATCGCTGTGGCGGCTGATATCCGTCAACTCCACTTTTTCTTTACTTGTTCATGATGGCTGTACTCATACTGGTGTTTAAGCGTGTTTTACGTCCAGCTTTCATCCTCCAACAACACTCAGTCGGTTGCTCTCAGCGTGCACGACACCGCTGTGTCCGAAACGCGTGGAAATGACAGCACCCGAAGCCTCTAATTGTGACAGAGGATCCAGGCAACCCATATCATCACTCGTTCATGAGTCGTCGAAGTGTCTTGTTCACAACCAGACGTTTCGTTGAGCAATAGTCCTGAGCAGGATAATGTACTTGCTGGAAAGATACGATGACAGACTGCAGGATTTATACTCGATCGATAAACTGCATGTCTTGCAACAGCTCAAGTGCAATTTTGTCGATAACGATGACAAAAGAAGCCCCAGACGTTTTATAAAGACGGAGCTGAGGATGATCAAGCTGCAGGCAAACTGGAGGCGACTACCTTTAAAGTGGAAAAGATCCTGGTGTTTCGTATACGCCGCTTAAAGCTTTTTCTTTAAGGATGCGAGCGTCCGTTACTAGCTCAGACGATCTTTACGACTGTGATGCTACATCTTAGAGCACGGACGCTCATTCGCAACATAAGGAAAATGTTGCTTTTATACTAAACCATCAAGAAGCACTCTGTTAATACTACTGTGTATTATTCCGCTTAGCCTTACGCATTAAGGCTAACGACAAAAGAAATACCTAGCTAACGCAGCCACATGAAACGTCATGCAGGCGCTGCTTAGCAGGAAGATTACGACTACGAACGCTTCTTGCTATTCCTCTAGGCGTTGTCGCTTTCGAAGATTGTGCGTATGAGGCAGTAACGATTTGACAATCTTATCGTTCGTCGGGCCATCGGCGGCAATACCATATTTATTCTCGGCGTAGTAACCCACAAATACTTGGCAAACTTGTTTCGCTGCGACAACTTGGGGAGCTGGATTCAGGCGAAGCGCTTTGCATGATTCAAGATCTGGACAAACCGCAATGTAAATTGGTGGCTCGGTATTACCAGCTTCCTTGACATCATCTGGGTAAAAAATCTTGTTCATTTCTTTCAGCTGGTTGCTGTCAATGCCATGCTGTGCCGCGACAGTAAATTGAAGATACGCTACATTGCCCTTCTTGCCAGATGTAGACTTAAGTTTCACAATGCTGTCAATATTCCGAAAAACGCGACACCCAGGAAACCAGTACGAGTACTTTTTTATCTCTCCATTCGATCAGATAAGCCACATGATCTTTTGCCGTTCCGGAGCACATTGCTTTATGTTTTTCCAAGTGCACCTGCTTCACGTTGAAATGACGCGGCGCGTTTGGTTGATAGTTTTCTGGCGGATCATACTCGGAAATATGGATATCCAACTGGTTGTCGGCAGCCAGGCGATGTAGAAGAATCTCATAAACAGCTCCAGCGAGTGAATTGTTTCCAGTATTCTTCGCCCACGTATATATTCGAAACAGTTCTTCCGATCGAAGTCTCAATGAGAGACAACGCGCAGCATATTCCGAGTCGATAACTTGTTCCCAACACGAGATGTAGATGAACGGGTCCCAACACTCCGAGTAAAGCGGAGCTATTTCATCTGGGCTTTTTATAAAAGTATGGCGCAAACGATCGATTTGCGATTCCCCCCTCGCAATGCTGAGCTTGTTGTTTAGCAAGTTCGAGACATCGGTTACACATTCCATCGCAATATCAATTGCATAGACTATTTTCTTGCATGTAGCCAGTGTAAATCGCGCACACTTCCGCCAGAGTAGTAAAAGCGATCATCCATATCATCAGGATGATACTTATGGATAAGTTCTCCCATCAAGAGGAGATCCGTTCGTGACCAACAAGGCAACAGACAGCAGTACGCATACAGTTGATCTTCAGACTTTAGATCCACCTGCTGCGACGTTGCCAACATCGTGAACGTTGTCAAACTAACCGGAATATCTTGGTACCGAAATCCATCCAACAACAGCCATACGTTCGATATGCCCTGTTGGCGGACGAGCTTTTTATATATGTCGATCGCATTCTGGTCTTCGCATTCGTCCACTGCAAACTGCACGACCTTGCCATCATCATAACCCAAATAAACGAGACAATCCGCCTGTTTTTTTTACGCAATCGTCGGTACACCAGCACATTCTTCTTGTGCTTGAAAACGAGATGAAAAGCCATCACGCACAACAGCGTTGACTTGCCAATACCCGGCGAGCCTAATACGATACTCTTCTTGTCTGCCAGCCAAGAAGACTCATGAAGCCAACCGTCCAATAGCAGCGACATAATTTGCTTATCTTCCATTCGCCAAAAGATTTTTCCTGTTTGGGTACATCCACCCAAGCTGCTCATAAATTTCCAGATCGAGGGAATTCGGTGCACAGCGTTGACTTCCCAGTCGTCCAGTGAAATGCATTCCTCAGCAAATTGTTCGGGCTTGTTCAATGCAATGGCTGTGGGAAGCTGCACATTCGTTGTAAGCGAAGCAGCACACACGATCGGTTCAGGCACTTTCACCAGCACGTGCACAGGAATATTTCCAGCTGCAACATCTTCCTTCGTCAATCGAAATCGTACAGCTTCTTCCGTGAATCCAATCACGCTAAGTGGCGCTCCCACATGTTCCAACAGAAAAAGACCACTGATATCTTTCACACCATGCTTCACCTCTGTCTCTGTCAGCCACGCGCCGCGGCCCTCGTTTTTCTTTGCCAAGAAAAGACTCAGCTGGTCCGCATCAACGTTCTTCAAGGCATTCACCTTCTCCGCCTTAATAGCCTTCTTAAGGTCATCTACCAGGTCGCTAGCGTCGATTTTTACCGAGAACATACTACCCCCCGCACCAATAAGCGCGCACAAGAGCTTTACCATCGTAACAAGCCAGACGATTCTTAAATGAAGGAAGAGACACGAAGTTTCTGTTTGGAAATGAATATGTTGATTTTGTATGACTATACTATGGTCAAGATAAAAAGCCATCGTTTCTTTCTGATTAGCTGACTAGACCCAGTGAAACTTGCCTTAAGTAATACTGCATGAATTGCTAACTTGTTTTGCGGACTAAAGTTCAAGTCAAAGATTTTCTATCTTTCTTTAACTAGCCCCCATCCTTTATTACCGATAAACAGCGAGCGACAACATGACTCTAGGAGTTCGACTGAGGACGTCATGTGATGAGCTGATGCGCCAGGATGTGACGGAAATGAACGAGCAAGAAACATTCGTCATTCTGCGCGAACAGCCGCAGCAACGTCGTGTGCGCACCAAAGTAGCAGTTTGAGCCGTAGAAGCAGGAACGATGACGAGAAAGGTGGGAGCCCGAAATCTTGGCGCGGTGCAGCATGCGGACAATGTACGACAGCGACCCGCAGATACAGCAGACTCGTCAACAACAACAGCAGCAGCACCGCTCCTTGGTCGTGGACAACCACCGTGCAGGACATGGTTCCAGGCATTAAATTGGGGCAACGAAGAGCTCAGCTTCAACGCCAGCAGTGTCAGGGGTGACAGCGAGAATGACGCGACGGCTGGGACTAGCAGTAGCTCAATGTTAGTGCAGCACGTTCCACTGGTGGCACGGACATCAATAGAGATGGCGGTGGTTCCGTCGAATACTTCGAGCCGACCTCCAGCGCGAAACGTGGCTACAAGTTTAGCCACACAGTGTCACCGGATACATGGGATAGAGCAATGGAGAGCAGATGCTCCACAGCAGGAAAAGAATCTACACGCCGCTACCAACATTTACGGTGTGCACTTTGCAGCTCTCCATCGCCGCGTGAAAAAGCGTGCGCAGGTAGGACATTCGTCCAAGGGCGCCAATGGCTACTTTTTCAGAGCGATGAGGTCGGAATTATGTGCGTGGTAGTGGCCTGCGTGGAGCTGGGCGTGTTGATGACTTTTAACGAGCATAGTGGTTAATGTGACTGCGTTGCGCAAGCTTTCGGACATCTTGGTGGCGAATGCGCGCGAGCTGATGGTACGCTTTAGTCACGTAATGAGCATTTTCGGACGTTTTCGTCAATATTTTGCTAAAAAAAACCGGTGATGTGTGTTTGTGGGTGTGCAGCTGTTCATGAATTTACAGCGGGCAAGCGGGAGTGCGATACTTGATGTTAGTGCTTCAGTACCCATTGTTATTCTTGTTCCAGTCGTGGTTGAAGCAAATAGAGCCAGGTAATGGAGCTGCTGGTAAGAAGTAGTACATATTTTGCGATATTCATGTTTGGAGATGCTGTCGTAACAGGAAGGTGAAGAAATGTTCGTGGGCCATTGCGGGAACGCACTTTCAACTAATTTGAATTGAAAGTACCATTTTGCGATGGCCAAAAAAAGCCACACACCCAAGCATATGAACGTGCCTAAGAGCAGGGATTTGACAAAAACTGGATGACACCACCTTAAAATGGTAAGGATCACTTGAAAAGTAAAGTCGTTGTGATGATACTATCTTTCATAATACCCCGCTACTAATTGTGCTACGATCGTTTTAGTAAAAGAAAATATGATATAATCTTATAAACTTGAGGATAGTTCAAGTAATGCGATTGTATTAGAAAACCACCAAACGGTGCATCCAGGAAGAAAACAAAAGCTACCAGTATCTCGGAAGCTTATCGGGAGTTCGTACTACCCTGGCCGCGCTTGCCCGAGTTCTGCCACTTTGCAAGCTTGGGAACCGATATTCGATCTGCCTCACCAGCACGACCCATTTTGTTAGCTTTACGCTCCGTCAACCGAGTAGCTCGCTTGACAGCTGCCATTGCAGCCTCGTTACCGAAACCCGATTGGTCACGCGGGGTGACAAGAGACTGTGAACGGTTCTTCGATTTGGAGCGCAATGCAGACTTGGCACGTGCACGCACACGCACGTCAGAGCTCTCGGTCGGGTCCTCCATATCCACGTCCATATCTTCGCGATCGCGCTTACGACCACGACTTTCATCATTGGCCTTCCTTTTTGCCACTACAGCCTCAGCGTGCTTCATGTGACTTGTATCCACACCAAGAGCTTCCAACTCTTTCTTTGTATCGGTAAGCGTGCGAAGCTTAGCAAGCACCTTTCGCGAAACACTGGAGTGGTTCTTGTTCTTGTTTTGACGGTGGCCAGCTACAATAATGGCTTTTTTTTCACGAATGCGAGCTACCTTGTCCTTCTGTTCATCATCAAGATCACTCATTTCCTCATCGTCATCCATAGAAGCATTGTTAGCCATAGCTTCGTCCTCCTCCTGCTCCAGAGCGTCAAGGCGTTTTAGAATTTCGGGGTCCACAAAGTCGGCAATGTTCCTGCCGTTCCAAATCTCTGGGATAGCGTCCTGCGTCCAGTCGTCACTGCGAAGCATACCCTTGTAGTGCTCCTTGAAATTAAACGAGTATACGCCTGCACCACCGTTAGCGTTCATCTTGTCCTTCTGCAGTGTACGCGGCACCACACTGTTCGGGTTCTCACGAGCAGCGATGACACTAGCAGGAATCGTAATCTCACGTGCTACATCATCACGAGCCACCGGCATCGCAACGCTGAGACGGTTCAGCACGTCGACCATCTTGTTACCCTTGACCTTTGAATTTACACGGTGCGACAGCAGCTCGTCACACGCGTAATTCCTGACATCCATGACGTTTTCCTCCGAGTGGTTGGACATGGTAAAGAACTTTGCTTTGGTCTCCTCTACCGCCGTGTTGATCATTTTCTGGTGGTTCTCCGAAAGAGCATCGAAGCGCATCTGATCAACCTTGTTGCACACCAGCACCAGCGGTTTATTCGCGAAGAGCGGCCGGATATTCTCAAACAGGCTCAGCTGCTGCTCAATTGTAAATCCACACTGCTCGGAAATATCCATAAAGAACAAAATTGATGCCTGCAAGTGTGCAAGCGCCGTGACAGCTTGCATCTCAATAGTGTTCCGGTCCTCAAGTGAGTGGTCAAGGATACCAGGAGTATCAATGACCTGCCAGCGGAGATACTTATAGTCTAGATGGCCAACATACAGCGCCTTGGTTGTGAAAGCATAAGGTTGCACGTCCACATCGGCTCGTGTGACCTTGTTCATAAAGCTCGACTTGCCGACATTAGGAAAGCCCGTAATGAGCAACGTTCGTGTGTTTGGGTCAATGGATGGTAGACGTGACAAGTGTTTACGCACTTCTTCAAGGTACTCCAGCGACGCCTTTTGCTTCTTTAACAGCGTGCACATACGTCCAAGAGCAGCACGTTTAAGCTGTTTGCAACGGTAAAGTGAGTCGCCGTACTTGATCATCCGTACGTAATCTTTTGCAATGTTATCGATAAGGGCTCGTGCCGTATTAACCTGACCCAGTGCGAGCTTGTAGTGGTCACGGTCATAGAGGATATTAATGAGGTCGGCATAGAACGGATGCAAGTCGTCAAGACGTGGAAAGTCATCAATGATCTGACTAAGCTTCTCCTGGCACGTCTGCTGTGTAAACTTGACCTTGCGCATGTAAAAGGCACGAATACGAGAGATGGCGTACGTCGGATGGATCACCGTCGGTGTCTTTCGCTGCGTGCGCGTAAGTACAATGTCAATGAAGTCATTGGCCGTTGGCACTGTCTGGATCTTTTTAAAATTGTAAACCACCATCGTGTCCACGCGCTTTCAATGTCAATCAACGAGTGAAAGCGACACCAAGTGGTCCAAGGAGCGTCACCGGAACGTGCTTATAATGTGGTGCATTTGGTTGGTCCTCACAGCACCAAATGTGCCTTCCTTTCGGTACATTTGGTGTGTACCCCGTAACTTGATGTGTCCCACTTCCGTTTGCAAACGTCTGGAACTATAATTCAGCCTAATGTTCATCCCCTTTGTCAGGTTTTCAACTTTGCATACAAACCTCAAGTCAAATCAATTACCGTCGACTCCCCGCATTCCACGCAAAGCTCAAGGGCCGAACGAAAGATAAGGCCGGTCTCTCTCTTACTGTATCTATTCATGTGGACGGTACTCTTTGGTGACGAGGAAGACGATACTTGTACGCCGCCTCGTGACGCTGTAAAGACGCACATGACGTCACTGTCTCCCCAAGACGCGACGCCGGCCGTGACACCGTCGCCTTTGGATCAAATGCCGCCGTTAACGCCTTCTCCTTGTCCATCTTTAGCTCGAGATCGACACGTGATTGTCACGTCGGAGGATACACAAAGCAGTGAGAAGATAGAGGACTCGGCAATGACGATGTTATTGAAGAGAATGAACAATTTAATGGTCAAAGTGGGTCAACATGAGTTTGAGAAGAAGACGCTCGTTGATCAGGTGCGTGAAGATCAATGAAAACAGGAGCAGAAGATGAAAAGAAGGAGAAGAGAGGATGATTTGTTATGTGGATGTGGTGTGGTGTGGTGTGGTGTAGATGGAGAAGGAGAGGAAGGTGTTGATTGTGCAGATTCAAGACTTGGGGCAACAGGTGGAGGATTTGAAGGACCAAAATGTACAGCTTCAGTACCAAATTGAGTATACTTCCGAACCAATGCTGATGGAGAGAGTGCAGGATATTACTGACATGCGGTACGGTGTTGATAGTTGGGATGGATGGTGTGATAGAGTGATAAGAGAGAGAGAGAGCTGATGGTTTGTGGAGTTGATTTGTTTTTATTTTGCTGCTGTTGATTGTTGGTTTGTTTAGTGACGCATTGGCTGTTGTGAAGAAACAATTGGAGGCGGAGCTTCAGGAGAAGGAAAAGGAGTTGAAAAGTGCACTGGAGACTAACAAAAAGCTTAGTGAACTGCAAGAAAAGTATGAAACACAGATTGATGACTTGACAGCGGCGTGTGAAGCTGCAAAGCAAGAGACAGCGGAAGCTGTTCGTCTGGCGAGTGACGCTGCTAGTGCGAAGTATGAAGAGCAGCTGAAACACAAGGAGGTGGCACTGCAGACAGTCACGGAGATGAAGGAGACGCTAGAAGCATCCGTGACTGAGAAAGAACAAGCTCTGGATGTAGCTAAAGCTGCAACGGTAGAAATGCAAAAGAATCTGGAGGAGGTTCGAACTCGCAGTGAAGTGGACGTAAAAGCACTTAAGCAACTTCATCAGAAGCTCGAGGAGGTTGCTTGTGAGCATGAGCAGAAATTGCAGCAATTGCAAGACGAACATCACCAGAAGGTGGCAGCTTTGGCGAAGCACGCACAGGAACAGAAGGCGTTTGCTGCCAGTAAGGCGCAGGAGCTGGAAGACTACAAACACGACTGTGCGGAGTTATGGAAGATTAATGAGGACATGAAGCAGCAGATTGCGCTCATGTCAGTTGAATCTACGATTAAGCAGACAGAGCTTCGAGAAAATGCGCTGTCAGGTCAGACTGTGCTTCAGAGCAAGGTGGCCGAATTGGAAAATCAGCTTAAAGAGCTGCAGGAACGACTCAATCAAAAGAATCAGGAAATAGTAGAGCTGCAGACCGAAGGTGAAAGCCGTGTTATCGCTGAGAGTGAAGGCGAAGCCTTGGAAGAGGAGGATGAGAAATTTGTGGTTGTCGAAAGCGATGGTAGCGTTATTGGCGTGCTTACTGAGCAGGTTGCCACTGCTCAGCGTGAGCTAACTGAAGCAATGGAGCTTAACTTGCACTTAAACAACCGCAACGCTTGGCTGGAAGAGCAGTACCAAATGCTGTCTTCTGTGCAATCGGAGGGCGATGACGATCAGGAAGATACAGCTCTCTCGACACCTTCACTAGAAGAGCGCATCGCAGCGCTGGGGCGGGAGCTTCAGGATGCTGAGCGCGCTGCAAATGAGAAGGCGGAGCACGTGTCGAACCTGGAGCAGAATTACAGCGCTCTTTCGACTGAGTTTGATCGTCTTCTCTCTGCGCACAACACTCTGGTCGAAGTGAAGCAAGCCGACGATGACGCGTTGAACGATCTCAGACAGGAGCTAGAGTCCCTTCGCACTTTGAAGGCAAGCGTTTTTGATAAAGACCAAGCGCTGCTTACAAAGGAGCAAGAGCTGATCTTACTTCGCACATCCAATTCTGCGCTAGTTACTGAAGCTGAACGGTTGGGCGATGCTGCAAGCCAGCTGCAGCAAACTCGTGATGAACTAATACAGACGCAGAACAGCCTTGCTGGAGCAGAAGCGACCAAATTGGATCTTGAGCGGGAGTTAGTCGAGTTGAGGAATATTTCTGCTGCCACTTCAAAGAGCAATGAGCACGTAGCTGTGATCCAGAATGAGCTCACCCAAGTCCGATCCGAAAGGGATTCTCTAGTTGCAGAGCTGACCCGGTCCCAGGCTTTCATTCACGAGCTGCAACAGAGAGTTCATGAATTGAAAGATCTTGTGAACAATCACATTAATGAGAAGAAGTCACTGGAGCAGCAAGTTGAGAATTTACAGGAGATGACACGGGAGAACATGGAAGGTTCTTACGAACTTCAAGCCAACCTTGAGTCCACTATGGAGGAGTTGGAGAATTCGAAATCCCAATTGCGTGCTGAGCAGGAGAAGTGTGAAAGGCTACAACACGAAGTGGAGGCAGCCAAGCAGTCGTCTGTCTCCCGCGATGAGCTGGATCGTGCCAAGAGTGAAATTACGAGCATGGAACAACAAATCCGTCAATTTCGCGGTCTAGAACAGTCCCTGACTCAGCAGTTGCAGGATGTGGTTCGCTCCAAGGATGAGATTGCTGCAGAACTGCAGACTGTGTGCTCGAAGCGCGCCGCAGCTGACGAAGAACAAAAGAAACTGAAAACGTTGTACGAACAGGCGACAGCGCAGCTTGCCTCGGTACAGTCTTCGGCAAGCGAGTTGCAACACTCGTATGATGATCTTTCGGACTCATTGGAGAAAGCTCGTGCTCAGGCGACGCAAGCCGAGCAGCAGCTTAATACTATACGTGCGGAGCACGGTGATGCGCAGAGGCAGGTCGAGTCTTTAACGAAGAAGAATCTTTTGCTGGTGTCGGAAGTTCAAAGCATGCGCGATGAAGCCGACAATAAGCAACAGGTGGCACACGGTCAGCTCGAGCAGCTCAAGGCGGTGCATGCTGACGTTCAGCGTCAGCTGGAAGATGCTACCCGCGCGCTCCAAGGCAAAGACGCCGAGGTTGTTGCAGCAACCCAACGCAGTCAAAGTGAAGTGGCGCGACTCCAGGACCTTGTCAATCGCTACAAGGCAGACAAGCAGGTTGTGGAGGAGAGGCTGGCTCAGCTCAATGCAGACTGTGAGCGCCTTCGTCAAGCTTACGATGAAGCGAAGACAATAGTAGGCCGCTCTCGACATGATCTAGAGCAGATGCACGCGCAGTTAAGTACAACTCAACAAGAAAAAAAGTCCCTTGAAGCAGAAGTTGGCCAGTTACGCGGTTTGAACGACGAAAAGGTTCATCTCCTTCACGAAGTGGATGAATTGAAACGCGCGAATCAAAAGCTGGAGGAAACGAACTGCAAGCTGGAAGGATTACTGCAGAATTCTAAGGCATATTGCAAGGAGCTGTCCCGTGACAGTGAGGACAAGGTCAGCCGTGCACAAGAGTTTACTCGCCACGTGGAGCAGGAAGCACGCGACGAAATTGACCGCATCGTGCACGAGAATACTTTGCTGCGAGATGAGCTGGAACAACTGGCCCAGGCTCGCTTAGAGGAGACAAACGCACACGACGTGCTTCGCGTGAAGCTTGCTGAGCTTCAGGCTGAAAACAACGTGTTGTCGGCACGTGCTCATCGTCTGACGCAGCAGCTGTCGCAGTATACGGATCTTCCGGAAGATGACGAGTTGGCTGCGGCGGGTCAAGGACAAACACCCGATCTGTGGGAGTTGCTATCTTCAGGCATGGAACAGCTTAAGGCTGACTTGGAGCTTGCTAGCAAGTACGCGGTCAGCATTGACGCCAGTAGCGTGGATGGTGGTATTGGTGACGAATCCTTTACGAATGCAAACTAGTGTACACTTGAAGCTGAAAAATGATTGTGAGTGCCAGGGTTTTCTGGTGGTAAAGGGGCAGGTGGTGGTGGGTAGACCAAGGGAACGCGAAGAAATCTCGACCTGTTTACATATAAAAGATACTTTCATGTACGTACAAAGTAACACCGTGGGTAAGCGCGTGAACTCGAGAGAATATGTGGTCAACGGCCTTCGGTTCGGTCGGCATAGTACGTATCACGCAAAGTTTACTTGAGTGCGAATGCTTTAGATAGCCCCGATGGAGTTTCCAACAAGCCGACTGGTTGAGCCAAAACAGGCATTTGCTTCTATTCGTGAGACATCGGTGCAGCTTTCGCAGACAAGAAGCGTCTAAGGATGCTTTGCTAGTCTTGCATTTTGCCACCCATCACTCCACGTAAGACGTGATCGGATATCCTCTACGTCATCTATAAGAGCCTGCTTCTTCGACATATACTCGCTAGCTGCTTCTTTCTGCTCGGCTTGTCGTCCATCGGCGTCACACCTTCCGTCTTCCTCCTGCGAGGTGGTAGGTCTAAATATTGCCACAAGCACTTCATTCAGAACCATTCGTAGCTGCAATTGAATCCCAGCATTCATCAAACTTTGACTGAAAAGAGTTGTGACTTTGTCATGTAGAAACCAAAAGCGAAGACGGTGCAGCAATGATTGAATCAGAGACTCCACGTCGGTCCGTTTGTTTTTCTTAGCAATCGGTGTCAATGATGCTACGAAAAGTTTGCATTGTGACAGCAAAACTGAACTCCACAGCACGAGTGTATCAAGTTGCTCCTCTGCAAGCTCACCACACTGTGGCAGCTTTTCCGGGGACGCAAAACTGCCCGGGTACAATAACAACATCATATCCAGGCACTCAGCGCTAGCGATCGGATATGAAGCCCTTTGAGAAATCAAGGATATGGCATTCGTGTCACGAGTACTAGTCACGATCTTGTCTTGCGCTAGAAGCAGGAAAATCTCCCGCATGTGCTCCAGAGCGCCAATGAAACTCGTGCTCATTACGTCCATCACAAATCGTAACAACTTCTGACCGACTTGCAACAACGACGAGATAGTTGAGTCATCCTGCGCTTCACGTGCAGATATTGCCGCAGCCTTTTCAATTTCGCTGAAGCAGCTTGCTTCAAGCAAAACATCTTGTGCCTCCTGAATATGAACATCTCCCTCGGTATCGAACCAGTACCCACATCTCCGACAAACACTCAATACTTGATACCAGAAGTGATCGGCACGATCCAGAAGCCACTGCTTACATTGCTTCCCCTTTTCAAGATTTGAAAAAGCGTATTCTTCAACAATGAGGTCGTAAAGACGATCGCCGCCATCACCATCACCATCACCATCGTTCTCGTTCACTCGTGGCTGTGTCAAGAACTCGAAAAACTCGCGAACACTTTCTGGTGAGTCAGACTGGAGCAGAATGTCAACTCTTTCAGCCACAACTTCGTCGTCAGCTTCATTGATTACGTAGTGGGCTAGTTGATGCTCATCCAACGATTTTAACATACCAAGAAGGCACCATGTCAAACGATGCGATGCTGAAGACGAGGCTCCAGCTAGACAAGATTGAAGCAAGTATCCCGCAGTTTCAGCAATATCAAGACGCGCTTTTACAAGAGCTTGGCTTGCAATCGAAATGAAAAAGCTTGCAGGAAATGAGAGTTTTTCGACATCATTTTGATGGTCGGCTTCATACTCTTCTGCAACCTTTTCCTGGGATTCCAGTGCAGCCAGCAGCACATCTAGGGCAGATTCCACATAGATCATGTCACCTGTGCTCACAAGCGTATGAACTGCACGTGTTTTCGCCTTGACGGAACCAATATTCAGAAGGGCTAATGCTGCTTCTCCGTGACAACCACGCACTCCAAGAAAGTCAGCGTATTTCCACAACGTGTCGTGGAGGAGAGGATCGCAGGGTCCCAACCTCGATCGAATGAGCGCTAGAGCCTCCTTGTAAGCATCAGCACTCACCAAACAAGCAACTGCAGAACGAACTTTCGCGATGCTGAGGAAATGAAATGCTGCAAGACCAACCGCATTGACGTAACAACGGCAATAAACATCAGACAAGAATTAACAATACTAGTTTGTATGCAAGAAAACGAACCTGCCGCTATTTTGTCGCCCTGGGCATCGACTTGGTGGGCGTACAAGTTTGTCATCTCTCGCCATACATTCATGCCGGCCACTGGAGCGTACGAAAGCCACGTTGGTGTCAAAGCTCCTTCCCTCGCTACGATTCGTAAGGCTTCAGTGATATTGCCCTGAATTAGCAAAGTATTGGCCAGACTCTCCCATTCCCGTTTTTCCTGAAAGCGATGACATTCGGAAGTAAAGAATCCCCGAAGGGATGCACGATCGGTATGAGCAAGAAGGTTGCCTATCGGCTCATCAGCATCCTTTGCAGGCATTGTGCCAGACGCTTTCGATTTCACACCGGCTACACTGCAGCAAGCCGAAGCAATTTCTGTTGGTGTGAGCTTCGTTTTGGAATGAAAAAGAAGCATACGCTTCTTCTTAGGCGCCTTGTTAGCCACAAGCTTGGCGTTGCAGTTGCCTGTTAAAAGCAATTCTTGCGAGGCTTTCGAGCTGGTTGTGTCTCCGCTTTGGATCTCCACAGAAGTATGATCCGCGAGTGGTGAAGTTGATAGTGTGTCAACTTCATGCGGTTGTTTCACCTTGCCATGTTTCTTCAATCTGGGCAAAGCCTCTTTCTGCTGCTCTTTGAAATCCCAGAAACGCAGCGTTTGGTCTTCGCCGCCAGTAACAAGCGTGTACGGTAGTACCCAGTCAAGCGACAGGACACGGCCAACATGATAATTGAAATACGCTTCCCTCTGAAAGGATGCCAAATTCCAAACTTGAACAGTTCCATCAGCAGAACTTGAGGCGAGAAAGGACTGGGATTCGTCGGAGCTCCACCATCGTAAGGCTAAAATCTTGTTTGAGTGACCTGCTAAGCTTCCGAGAAGACGACGTTCTTGAACCACTTCGCCTACTTTGATTGCAGTTGCTTGCGTTGTACAAGTAGTAGCCATTTTACAGCTGTAGATGAATATTTTTCCATCTTGACCTCCGGAAGCCAGTAAGCTTGCATCAGTACCTTTGCCCCACGCTAGACATGTTACGGACGTCAAATGCTCGTGGAAGCGATGTACTACTGTGCTATTATCGTAAGCACCCTCCTCCCATCTCATTACTTCCACGATACCATTAGCGCGCCCGATAGCGACCAGCTCACATTGCTCGTCCCACTCAAACGCGACATTATGTAGCGTGATATTACGAGATTTCTGGTCAACCACATCAGCGTTTGATTCCAAAAGAGCACCGCCAGTGTCGCAGCTCCACAAGAAGACCTTCAGATCATCTTCGTCGCAACGTCTCGTCTGGTTTTCTTGAGCAACCAATGCGCTTTCAAGACACTGACCCTTAGCCTGTGCAGCTTCTAATTGCTTAATAATCGCAAGAAAAGAGTTGTCTCCTTTGTCACTACCGTCAGCGTTCTTCGGCTTTCGAACAATCCATCGAAGCTGTTGCACCTCTTCATCGTGACTAGTGCGAAAATGGGTGTATGTCTTCGTTTGGACATCGTATACCCCAATGCGCCCATCTTCCATACCGTAAGCTAACAATGACTGACGAAATGGATGCCACTGAACGCAAGTGATCTTGCTCTGTAACCCCTTCCACAACAGATCGCACTGATAGGCGCTTGTTACACATGAAGCATTCATGCCTAGTTGCCAAAGCCGAATTGTCTGGTCCCCAATTCCAGCAGCTACGAGGCCTGTTGCTGCATTATAGGATACGCTGTAAACATGCCCGCCCAATCCACTCAGCTTCTCCACACAAGTTGCTGCTGAGGGTTTTGAAGACAAATTTTCCTTCCAAAGCCTTAGTTCCCGATCAAGAGAAACCGTTAGCATAGACACGGCTTCGTTTGCATCCGTTCCAGAGCCCCGAGGAGGTACCATCGCAATGCAAAAAAGCATTCGACTATGGCCACCTTTGACAACAACAGGTTTGCATGTTGTACGACGATTCTTTCCTTCTTTTCTCTGAGCGTCCATCGTGGCTACATTCCATTCCCAGCGCAATAAACTGCCATCGAACGACCCTGACCAAAGACTATGTTTGTCCACTGTTTTTTGGAGGCTGTTCAAGCTCCAGGCTATAGGAAGCCACAGCTGCTTGGCCTGGGTATATGACATGCCTTGCTTTCCCGTTGGAAGTCGCAGCACCTGGTCCAACTCAGGATCTTTCGCGCCGCTCATAGAGACTTTCCAGACTTTGATCGTTTTATCACGAGAAGATGAGGCCAGCCAGACTTCTTGGTCAGGAGAATTAATCAAACGCTCTCCTGCAAAACGATTTCTGACTGTCAACTTCCACGCGACACATTGAACTTCCTGGTCATGACCAGCAAGGCGGTGACGCACGGTCCCTTTTGTAGCATCCACCAAACATAGTACTCCACTGCGGAATCCTACAGCTATCAAAGCTTTGTCGTATGGTGAGATAGCCATTGAATGAATCCCGTCGCCTGAAATTGGCATGAAGACAGAAACTTTTCCTCTACATCCGTTGCAACAAAACAAACGTTCTACCCCGTCAGTTTGATCAGTTCACTCACTCACACTTAGAAGTTGTACATACACATCACGTTCCCACGCACTAATCTGTCCTTGTCGGTCTCCTGTTACTACAAAGTTGGCATCCAACATGGCAGACGCCGTCACAGCTGTCACCTCCACCTTATGCTTTCGATGCTGCTCAATCATTGTCAACGACGTCACATCCCTGCAAAGCACCAATTGTTAAATCTATCAAATCCTGCATTTCTCTACATTTGCAACGTTAATCTACCAAATCTGCACGCTTCCTTCCTCACCACCACAAATCAGACGCAACATCCCCGTCGTGTCCATTAAAAACTGTATCGCAGTCACACGACGGTCGCGTTTTCCACGCACAACTTGTGCAAAGAACGAGACCTTCACTCTCGATCCAGAGACAGCAGCAGCTTCATGAACTTCTTGATTTTCAATCACCTGTCAGCATTAATGAGAACTCCTCAAAAAAAAGACCTCCTCTTCCTCTCTCATTGCCCATTTATCGACTTCTTCTCTCTCTACCTGATAGATAAAGACGCTGTTCTTAGCTCCAAAGGCAAACAGCACCCCAAACACGTCACTTTGTCCCCAATCGCAGATCTACAGCTCATAGAATACCACAATTTTAGACTTAAATCAACAATATAGTTCCACTTTTTAAACCGACACAACTCATTAACAACAAACCTTTGAGCAATACCAATTGGCTGACGGAGGGAAGAGATATTTGTGCGTCTTACCATATATCGGATGTAAGGATCCGTGCATTCCAGCACGAACACGGCCACCAGGAATGAGCACATCCATTTTCAATTCTTCGGCTTGATGGTTTATGGTTTGTAGCTATTTGATTATTAACCAATCACTGACGATGTAGCCATATCTAAAGAGCTCATCGTCCCTGACCATGAGAAGCGGCGGTCTCTCCGCTGCCTATTAACGTCTCTTTACGACCCGAGACGTGGCGTTCCGGGACACGACGTACACGTCATCACCTTTTCAAAAACCTTCCGAGCGATTCTAGTTCAAGTTGCGTGGCAGTTGACAAGAGAGCGCGCGCGAAAAAAGCTGGGAAAGTCTTTTGTCTCTTTGATCGCTTCCTGTCTCTTCAGTCGAAGGTTGTGGACCTGCACAAGTGAATTTGCAATGCGTCCCGTCATTTGTGGAACGGGGTCAAGCTCTGGTACGAGTAGTATGAGCTCAGGCAGTTTAGGGACGTCGCCATCAACCATGGGCTGGAATTTAGGCGTTCAACGTCGAGATCGGAAGCTCTGGACGACAATTGCAGATAAAGTAGAAGCTGATGTGAAGGTGTTGCAGTTGACATTGGTAGAAGTGGAAGAAATGCTCAAGCAGTTGATGGGTGTGGCGCTACCGAATCCACGGATTCGAGGAGATGTAAGTGGAAGACCATGAGATGAAGCTGGAAAATAGGAGACTAGAAGCTGATTTGTTGTTTGATGTTGGGACAGGAAATTGCAGCATTGATTACTGCATTGGCACAAGTGTTGCCATTGAGTTCGGGACTATTGTGCTCGGAGTATACACGGTTTGTGCAAAAATGCTGTTGTAAGGAGAGAGTGTTGTTTTCAAGCACGCAGCTACGTGTGGTCATGACGTTTTTGCTCAAGTTTATTAAAACGTGTCCTAGTTGGTATACGGCCAACTCGATCCGTGCATTAGGTCAAGTATTGCATGATAATGCTGATCGGGCGAGCAAAGAGTTCGAACTGTTATTTGCGGTGCTGCTGAAGCATTTGGATCCATCGGGCGTGGACATTGAAGCCCGATACGCAGCCACAAATTGTGTGTCGAACATTTGCACGCAGGCTGGAAAAACACCCGAGGTGTATCACTACTTTTCGTCGTTATTACGAGTGGTGGTGGAGAATTTTCGACAGCAGGCTCTCAGCTTGACGAAGGGCCAAAACGATCGCATTCTCGTAAAGGCATGTACCTCTAGCATGAAGTGCGTGTTCACGATCATCAACTCGAATTTCGACCGCCTGAGTGATCGCATCGCCGCGACGCTGCCCAGTCTGCTCAGTTCCATGCGCCAGGTAGTGGGTTATGGCCTTGTGCTCAAGATTGGTCATAGCGACGTGGTGTTCTCGTATCAAGAAGAGCTGCACCCTTCTGACTCCGATTCGTCCGCGTATGGCTCTGACGGTAGTATGGGATTACGCGAAATTGAGGAGTAAGTGCTTTGTATCGCGTAGTTTTTCTTCAATTGCTCATGCTAGTATTATGATACTTGTAGCGGCTTGCTGGCAAGACTGCGCGTTACTGTGCTGTACACACTAGAAGCAATTGCGGAGCATTTTCCGAACGCCATAACTTCGTCCATGGGGCTTTATCTACCAGAGCAAACCACGCCTTTCATGACGTTGTTTAGCAACACGCCATCGGTTCTTACTCTGCTCATTGCAGACCCAAGCGAAAAAGTTCGCATGACTGCTGCCAAGTTTGTGGACACTTTTTGGGAGAAGATCCCTCTGAAGATGTACTTCCGACGTTCATCTGGGGCCAGTGCAACGACTGCACCTACCGCGTCGTCGATGTCGTTTGCATCGATGCCGAAGCGGATCTCTCTGATGCTGTATCAGGTGCATGTTGCTTTGGTGTACTGTATTCAGCACGAGAGAGAGTCTGCACCACTTGCACAGATACTCAAGGTGAGCAAATCACGATGACTGTAGTATGGTCGGTCGATCTATTGCTAAGTGTTTCGTGTTGTTTGATGAATGTAGAGCACTTCGTCAATAATTCAGCGCTTCCCCTATGGAAACGTGGCTGCGATTCTCGATCAGATGGAGCTCACACCAAGCCTGGGAGATATTTTGAAGGCACTTGCATCAAGTTTGTATGTAGCAGCAGCGTCAACTGGCAAGTTTTTCACGCAGTTTGACTTCTAGAATCGTTTTTTAACTGTCATTGTGGTGTGTGCTCCGCTAAATGTGTTTGATAGATCATGGTGTTCGAATGGCGAGCTTGTCGTGCATGTCAACACTTCTCAACGTTCAGGAGACTCTTCCGTCTGTTCTGGAGTGGATGGTGCACACAAGCGATACTGACCGCGTGATCCGAGTTGCACACATATCGATCGCGTGCGGTACATGGTTACTGCGCCACCATTCGTTCGTTGAAGAGCTTTTGCTGATAGCATCCCGGCCTGATGACTCGTCGCGCACATTGCTACGCTTGGAGGCTATGTCACTCTTGTCTAAGGTCGCAAAGAACTACTCACCAGCTCTAAGTGCCAATTGGAAGCAACTTTTGGAGTTCATGCTGACAGCATTTCGAGATATGGATCCTAATGTACGTCTCCAAGCGGTAAAAATATTGGAGAACTACATCAAGGGCGAGAATGGATGTCCTGATAGTTCAATCCTTGGAAGCAGAAGCGCGAGGGATGCTTGTCGTGTCGACTGTTTGGAGTTTATGGCGACACACTTAGTGCGAGCATTTTATGACACCTCACACCATGTTCGTGCGAGTGTCTGTGCATGCTTTACGCTATTGTCTGCTCAAGACTGGACCTGGCTTGGTGAGAAGAAACGGTCCCGACGCCTTCCAGTATTGGTGGCAAAGAGTGGCGGCTACAACGGACCAGAGCCTAACGCTTCGTGCCTGGACGGATACACTCGGATTATCCTGCAAACTCCGAAAGACAGCTCCCCAGTCGTACGTGCTGCGGGATTCCGACTACTAGGGTCGCTGTGCCTTGCTCCAACGTTTAAGACGTGCGGGTTTGCGAGCAGTGTCGTGAGCTTAGCATTGGAGGCTCTTGGCGACTCAACTCTAAACGTACGTGTTCGGGCTGCATGGGCGTTGGGCAATGTTTGCACCACCATTGGCCCCGAGTCCATTCCAGAGAGCGATAAGTCTTCGCTCTCTTCACTAGCGCCGCCATCTTTGTTTGAAGCCAAAGTGGAATCTTCTGTGGCATCCCCAAGGGTACCACCGAAGGTGCTGTACGAACTACTACCGGAGAAGCAGTTGCGCCTGGTGATTGAGAAGATGATGGTGTATATTAACGACAACGACAAGGTGGCGTCAAGCGTGGCTCGAACACTGGGACTAGTGTGTCGTTGGATAAGCTTTTCACCCTTCCGACGTACTCTCACGCCCAAAAACTGTGCGTGGTTGGATGATCTGTTGGGGCAAGCAATGACTGTGCTAGCAGGCAAAATCAACGCAGGCTCGCCCAAGGTCAGATGGAATGCGTGCCATGCTATCGCTAAGGTTCTGCTATGTCCCAGCTTGCCATTATCATCCGTGACTTGGGCTCCATCCGTGTTTCAGGCGCTACTGACTGCTGTCGCACAACAAGAGAATTTCAAGGTGCGTATTAGTGCCGCTACTGCGCTGCGGGTGTCTCAAACCCGAAGTGCATTTGGTTCTTTCTTCCAATCGGCACTTCGAGCCACGATGGATGCGCTGGAGACGGCGTCGGACTTGAAGGATGTGACTGAATTTCGCTACAAAGAACAATTGGAGACGCAGCTTTCCTTCACGTTGGTGCACCTGATTCACATTGCCACGGAAGAAGATGACCCACAGATATTGCAGGCATTCAAATCCAAGCCTCACGGGTTTTTATACGACTGGTTGCTACACAACCTCCATCGCATGGTCGCGGCTATCGAGCGCGAGAGCGACGTTGTTGCTGGTGTAGTTACGGTTGGAGGGGATGGTACTGAGGAAGGTCGGGCAGGAGGAACTGGTGATGCGCATGACGTGAACCCCATCAAAAAGGACGAGTTGTTATCTGCAGTGCGCTCGTTACTGCGTATTTCGGAGCGCCTGAACACGGACAAGACTTACACAATCAGCTGCGTTTCGCTCTTGTACGACACGAAAATTGGACTCGAGCATGATGTACTATATTCCAACGAGGATATTCCCTTTGAGCTATGAAAGGGTCGCGGCGATACCGCCCATGAGTAATAGGATGAGTAGCAAATGGCAAATACGAGCAATTCAATGACAAGTCACAGTTTTCTACTCGATCAACTAATCTTGGGCTTACCTCGCGTGATATGTTCGTTCATCAAAATACTAACGCCTGCGAAAGCGAGCACGTCTGTTTCTCTTACGACCGCCGCGATGGCGGCGTTTGCGTGGTTGTCCCTCCGGTTGCTGGCCCCGACGCTCTTTCTTTTGCTTGATTTGCTCGTCAGTAAGTGGCAAGTAGTACAACACCGGTTTTGTTTCTGTCTTTTGAAAAAATTCATCGATCGTCACCTCTAGAACAGCAAATTAGTTGTTGCATCACATATCAGTCGAAGTAAGGAATACGTACTCGGCCGCTGAGCAGATTGTACACCGCTGCTGATTTTACTCTTTGCTTGGTCTGGTATGTTCGCCTCGCCGTGCTGGGCAACCTGACCACAACAAGTTTAATCAGCCACTACAATAAGTTTTACAGCTTGCGCTACTAGAATCATCGCAAAGTTACCTCCATGGCTGTGCAATTTATCAGCTTGACACTGAGCGATCGCCCATTTTCAGGAGGCCATACCTTACCATCAAGTGCAGCTCTAGCTTTTTCCGCCTGTATATTTCAACATTCAAACACGAAACACATGCCATCATCATCGATAATGAACAAACACCTCTGAGAATCATACATCTTGAGAAAAAAAACTTGCAAAAGTCGTACGTACAATCTCGGAAGTAAGATATGTCACAAAGCAGTGGGTCTTGATAGCATCCATCCAGAAACCTTCTTCTACAAAGCTACCAAACTCTTGTACAAGTTCCTACAAGAGCATCGGAATCAGCCACCCACATTTCCTCCAAAAGTGCAAAATGTACAAACCTTGACAGCATTCAACGTAAATGGGCGGACAAAGTTGTCAATTCGAATCGTTAACGTCTTTTCATCCTTCCTGCTCACGAAACAGATACGAAATTCAAGAGAATCAACAACAAATACAAAAGTTAGCAGAAAAAGATACCGACACGATACAGCACAAACTGTGCACCTTACATTGCAAAAGTATCTCCCTCTGCTTTATCATCAGCCTCGGCATTATCACTAGACAACATTGATTTGTCACCATTTTCATCCTCAGGCTGTAAACTGTTGGTCGCTTTTGTTTCCATTATCTTGGGCTTCTTTGTATCGTTTGTCATTTCTTGGTTTTCAATTGCTTCCACTGCTCTCTTGAACCCCACGGACGTTTCATTTTTGTCGTCTCTTTCATCATTCTCAGCATCTCGTTCCATCTCCAGCTCATTCTCTTTCTTTAGAGCCTTTTTTTGCTTTTCTTGACTGTCAAATGATACCTCCGTCGTCTTTTTTTCTTCCTCCGTCTCTTGTATCTCGTCCTTGTGCGTCTCTAGAGCCTCCTCCTGTATACCAACGTATACCCGCAACTAGTCAGTTCCTTTGTATACTTTACTCTATCATTTAATCGTCTTAAACCTCCTGCAATCGCTCGTAAAGTCGCTCAAGCAGTACCGCCTTCAATCCGTTCGTGTCTAGACCGCGTTTCTTGAGCTCTCGTTGTAATTCCTTCACCTACAAAGACAACAAATGCGTGACGTGAATAAAGAGCAGCATATGAACACACAAAACACAATATTAAAGCTGTAACAAGGCGTCAACCTTGAGGCAAGAGAGCGCATCGACAGTCACTGTCATCCTCACAAGTAGCAAATTTTACCACTTAAATACTACGAATTACGGCTATTTCGATCGTAAGAAATCCCTTTCTTAGTAGTATTTAAACAATAAAAACAGCTGCAAATGGACTAAAAAGTAATTGAAATGGGCACACTGAATGGGTCTTTTTTACCAATTCATTTATAAATAATTTACGTACTTAGAACGGATAGAATCAGACGGATGATATATTAGCACTGTAGCTCAAAAAGATCTGATTCGACCGACAATATGAGCACTGACATCAGTGAGCAGCTACTTGCCGTCGGTGCTCATGCCTCTCTACTTTCAAGTGAGCTCCAGGACGCTCAGAAACTGACCGATGCACTGGTACATGCTAGTGCATTAGAACTGCAATCGCTTCTTTGTGACGTCATTCCCGTCGTTAAAACTCTCAGTCGCGTAGTGATCAAGTGCATTGGAATGGCAGCAGCAGCAGCAGCAGATACACAAAATGGGACACTTTTAATGGCTCTCGAGGACAAATTGCTCCCGATATTGCACGTCTTTCATGCACTCGTGGACCGATTGACGTGTCAAGAGTTACAAGACGAAAAGGAACTGCTTAATTGGCTACCGTTTGTGCTCACGGCGTGTTACTTTGTGAATGGAGTCGAACTGCCGTGTTCAGCTTTAATGCAGAGTCTTGTGCTTGCTGATGAGGTGATAAATGCTGCTGTAATGCTAGTAAAAACTCAAGATCGAGAGAGTTTAGTGGCGAAATACGTTGCAGAGATGGTGGCACTGTGTGCTCATGATGTGGACAAAAAGGAGTGGGTAGCAGTGACGTCTGTCAACAAGCAAGTGATGTTAAAGGTGGTGAAGCAAGTGTCGTTTCCGTATCTAGGTGGTGATTTGCTTGGCCGTCTGCTGGCACTTACGTTCCCGTTGGTAGACGATCTGACTGACTCGACACAGTTAATTGGAGCTCAACTGCTTTGCCACATTATAAAGAATGTTACACCTACAGAACTACGCTGGTACTCGGATGTTCTGCTTGAGGTGCTGCATACTGCCATTGTTTCGCGTAAACCAGATACTCTTGACGTACTGCTTGAGTGTCTTGTAGAATCGCTGGACATTGTATCTCTTCCGAGCGAGCTTAAGCACTATGACCGGTTTATGCCGCGGCTACTTCGTGACGCAAGTCTGTGCAGTGATGTCGCTCTCCGAGTTGTCTTTGTGCGCCATCTCCGTGTTTTAGTAGTTCGTCAGGGAGCACCACACAGCCTCAATGTCATCCGCTACCTGCAGCCGCTGCTGAAGGTATTGATCGCGGGATTTGAGAGCATCAACGTTGCCCTTGTGATGGCGACACTCGAAACCTTACGAGCTACTGTGCTTGCTGCGTGGCCTCGTATTGCGCCACATACCGAGCAGATTCTGGTCGGCGTGCTACGTGCTGTTGCTTTCTGTGAGTTGTTTGATGAAGGTGCTGATTTTACACCAACTCCAAAACAGCAGAAGCAGCTCCTCGCACAGTGTGAAGACGTTGTGGACCTGCTGCACCAAGTCAACTCCGAAAAGTCCGTCGTTGGTGATATGCTTGCAATTGTGAGTAACCAGAGCTCGAAGCTATCGCCGTTTTGTAATCGTATGCAAGCCAAGTGGACGACTAGGTAGTTCATTGAACTATAGCTTTGCGATTATCGAGCTGACTCAACTGTAAACGGGTTCTCATTGCAGCATGTTGACATTGTCCAGATGTCTTGCTCAAACCATGAGACACAATTGATGCATGTACTACCCCACAAAGAGAGAGAGAGAGAGAGACTCGACATGGACTGCAGTACATGTACAATCTACTGATACTAAGCTGGATACAGGGATCATGAACACCATGACTACTGCATTTCGTGATTATATTTATTGACTTTGATGCATGCACTAAGAAACAACGCACTAACTAGATACGAGACTGGTAGCCCTCCCACGACTTTCAAAGCTACTGACGCAGTCCACGCCATTGCAGCCGTTCAGTAGAAAAGCCAAGCTACCATATTGACACCACTTATACGTTCGGGCCATACACCGACAGGTCGTTGCCTGGCAAAATGAACTGCTTGAAGTTCTCCTTGAACGACTTGGCCAGCTTGAGCGCTGTCTCATTAAACGCCGCTTTATCCGTCCACGAGTCCTTTGGGTTCAGAATCTCCGATGGCACACCCTTCACTGTCGTCGGGATCTCAAAGCCAAACAGCGGGTCCTTCACGAACGATGCCTCGTTAATGCTGCCGTCCAGCACTGCGTCCACGCAGTTGCGCGTAAACGGCAGCTTCATGCGCTTGCCCACACCGTACACACCACCCGTCCAGCCAGTGTTGATTAAGTACACGTCTGTGTTGTGCTGCTGCAGCTTCGTCTTCAGCAGGTCAGCGTACTTGGTCGGGTGCAATGTCATGAACGCTGCGCCAAAGCACGTCGAGAACGTGGCCTGCGGCTCCGTGATGCCGCGCTCCGTGCCTGCCACCTTGGCCGTGTAGCCCGATAGAAAGTGGTACTGTGCCTGGCCAGCAGACAGCTTCGACACGGGCGGCAGTACGCCGTACGCGTCACATGTCAGGAAGATCACGGCGTTCGGGTGGTTGCCGCGCGAGTTCGGCTGGTGGTGCGGGATGTGGTAGATCGGGTACGACACGCGACCGTTCTCCGTCTTGCTCGAGTTGAAATAGTCTGGCTCGTTGTTCGTGTCGATCCACACATTCTCCAGCATAGCGTTCGGTTGGATGGCGTTGAAAATGTCCGGCTCATTCTCCTTGCTCAGGTCAATGGTCTTGGCGTAACAGCCGCCCTCAAAGTTAAACACGCCCTCGTTGTCCCAGCCGTGCTCGTCGTCCCCGATCAGTTCCCGTTTCGGGTCAGCCGACAGCGTCGTCTTGCCCGTGCCCGACAGGCCAAAGAAGATGGCCGTGTCACCCGCCTTGCCAATGTTGGCCGACGCGTGCATGGCCATCACACCGTTCAGCGGCAGGTAGTAGTTCATCATGCTAAAGATGCCCTTCTTCATCTCACCGCCGTAGAATGTACCACCAATAATGGCCATGTGCTTCTCAATGTTGAAAATCACAAACACCTCCGAGTTCAGACCGTGCGCTTCCCAGTCTTCGTCCACAATGTTGCACGCGTTAATGACCGTGAAGTCAGCCATAAAGTTCTCCGCCACATTAGAAAACTCTGGCCGGATAAACATGTTGGTCACAAAGTGGTGCTGCCATGCGAGCTCCGTCACAATGCGCACATTCAGGCGTGACTTTTCATTCACACCACAATGCCCGTCAAAGACGTACATACGGTCCACGGAGCTAAAGTGCTTGGCCGCCTTGGCGTACAGAACGTCAAACACCTCGGCCGTCGTGGGTTGATTGATTGAACCCCACCAGACATTGTCCTGCGACGGTTCTTGCTTGACAATAAACTTGTCCTTGGGTGACCGGCCTGTAAACTTGCCCGTGTCCACGGCGAACGTGCCGTTGGCCACAAATGAGCCTTCATTGTACTGCTTCTCATGGTCTGCCAGCTGCTCATACGTTAAATTGTGAAACACCTTGCAGTCATTCTTGATACCAAGCTCTCCCAGACTCAGAGCGACAGTCGTGGTCTCGTGCTGTGCCATTGCGTTGGTATGGGACGACGTTGTAACGGGTGTGGGTTGCTGTGCTCCGACCAGTGCGAATTGGAAAATGAGCTTCTCTATCGTATACGTACGTACGTACGTACGTACAAGACGTATAGATACGGGCTCATTGGGATCCAAAATCCCGCCCAAGGACGTTTCTTCTTCAAGAATGTCATGGTGCCTTTCGGCGACATTGGATAAAGAGGCATGGATGACGCGACCTCATCGACGTCGCGTCTCTCGTGACATAAGAAGCAGCATACGTTATTCAAGTGTACCTTCCTCTCGAATAAGTTGCCACAGCTGACATTGATTTTGAATTTCAAATGCTACCGAACCTGCGTCATCATGTAGTCTATTGTGTTTAGGGATAACAGGTTTTATGAGGGTTTTCAGATATATATTAGAGGGTTTAGAAAATCGACTTACAGAGATTTAGAAACGAGCCTCCGTTTTCTAATTTAGAAAAGTAGTCATGCTGTTTAGAATCTCTTTATCCAGGCACAGTATGAAACAATCCAGATGTACTGACTGATGTGTGGACTCTGTGACCTTCAACTATGAGCATTTTTCTCCGGACACGGCATCGTTGAAGTGAACGAGCACTCATGGGGCGATTGGTCAACAGTTCACATCATCATAAGAACTATGATGTAGATTATTCGTCCATCTTGGAAGTTGTGCAAGCTCCGCCTGAACATCGCGCCGTAACGGGTTCCTACATGATCGTTCTACTTTGCGTCCTGTTCCTCAGTTTGCTGCAGGGTCGTGTAGCTGGATCCGCTCAAAAATCGCAATTCACTGATCTCGCTGGTCTGTACACTGTACTGTTCAGCATCACGTGCCTCACGAAAGTCTATGGAATCCTCGTTGGCTGCAAGCATCCATTTCGACAATAGAATGGCATTTCCTGATGTATCCACGGACTGCACTTGACCGCATTGCCACTCGCTCAGCACAGGCTGCCACGTTTCGAGGCACAGCGTAAGCGTCTTAAAAGCAATAACATCCTTCAAAACAAAGTCGAACAAAGTTGCAGGGGCGGTTGGATACATACTCAACAACTTGGTCAGATCCTGATTGACGACAACAACAACAATAACATGTCAGCAAGTCTTTTCGATTCCTAATAATCTTGCAGAGTCACTTACCGTTGTCAACGAGGCCGACATTTCCGACTTCTTGTCGAGTACAGTAGCGACGATTTTGTACGGTCGTTTCCACCTTTCTACGTATTTACCTTTTTCCTCTCGTTTGGGGACATTGTTGTCCACGTTGACTTCTTCACCTCCATCAACCAATCTGCCTCGATTGTCGCGTAAAATTCTTGAACACTGCTTGATGGAAGACGAAGGGCCATACTTTGCCAGTTCGGGTGCCGGAGAACGTTGAGTAGGTTCGACGCTTTCTCTAGCATCATACCGATGCTCATCGTGTTTTACTTCCACCTGATCTCCAGTTTCCTCATCAAAAAGGACGTGCGTTTTACCACAACGCTTGCCTTTAGCGCCAGCACTGTCAATACTGTTTTGTCTTTCTGTAGATGAAGTTTGCTTTAGTAGCTGCGGAGTAGTCACCACTTGCTCTTGCGAAGCAGTATCCTTGTCACCAGTCGATAGTGCAGCGCTCGCAGAGTTGTCTGCAGAGCTGGTCTGGTTGCTATTTCTTTGTCGTCCTCCACTTCGCTGTCGCAATCGTCGCCGTCGTCTCCTACGTGGTTTTGTTTCACTTTTTTCCAAGATAGCGTTTGTCTTGCTTGCAACTTCATTACAGCCAAGCTTTTTCCTACACGTAGTAGCAGCATCTTTGCGTTTGTCTAGTAGCTGCTTCTTTATTGTAGTCACCTGCACCACTTTTTTCCGGTTGCATTGAGCAGGAGATTTATCCTCCGACTCGCTGCTGCTGCTTTCACTACAACTCGAACTCGAGCTAGCACTCTCACTGCTGCTACTTACAGTGTTCTTCTTCGACCTAAGAAGCGTCACTGCTTTGCTCTTTCCACTCTTCTTCACTTCGTCTTTCAGCTTCTCCTTCAACACCTTCAGCCCATCCTTTACTACCTTGACTTTCTTCTTACATGGTTCCTTCTCCTCCTTCTTCCCACGTGTTTTTCGCTTTCGCAGCGTCAACTTCTCGGCTTTACGTTTCAAAGTCGACGTCTCAGACCCATCATCACCTTGTTCTTTATCAGATAAAGGACATTGGACAACAATTGTGTCATTATCTCGCACAATACGGATACTTTGTGTCGCTAAGACCCGCAGCTCATCCAGATACAGCTCCAATCCCTTTGGACAACTCGTAGAAAGCCCAAACTCCCGCAGTAACACGTGCGTCAAGTCACCCACGAGCTTTACCTCTTTTGGAATCAGATACCAACAAGAAGAGAACCCACGATGGCGCTGGACATGACACCCCACCTCATCCACGAACACTAGACGTACCCGGACGTCCATGGAATTGATACAGTAGCTGCAAATACCGGTATCGATATCAATTCCTCTTATTGGGAATATTCCATCTTAGAAATTATAACAATAAGAGTAATTAGAGTAACCCTACTGGGGTTACTCGCTGGAATGCGAAAATATTATTTCGGTATCAGAAATAAAGCGCAGCGGGTCCTCCATGTCGTCATCTTTAGCTGGTCATTCCATCGACGTATGCGTGTCCTTAAATGACGCCTCGTGTCCTCATCACATGTATGACGCGGTGCTTTCGTCTAAAGCGCTCGAATTTGTAGCAGCTTTGGCTGTTGCATTCGACCAAGAAATCGAGCAGGTACTTGAAATACAAAAATATTATTTTTGATTCAATTAATTTTTGTAAACAAAAATAACTATTTTGATGTAATTATCATGGACGAATTATCAGCTGCATGCCAGACGTCAGATTCGACGTCTCGCGACGGAGAAACATGGAGTAATGCCGGGACGAGACACGAGCGATTCGTCAGGACAAAACATGGAAAATTGATGCTCAACCGAAAGTGCTGATGGATCGACGGGTTGATATTGGAGACGTGTCGCCTGTTAACAAGAAGTTTCTGCTTTATGCACTGAACTCGGGGGCTCAGGTGCGTTCAGAAGTGGCCGTGTCTATGAAGAAAATGCTGGGGTTATTTTATATGTGGAGACTGTTTTTTGTTGTTGTGGTGAGAGGGTGTCCAAGTTGACTTTGATGATGGACATTGTCCAACATGGAACAATACAATTCAAGGTCATTATAATGTATTGCAAGCTACTCGAGATTTGCTCGAGGTATCGGGGGAGAGACTTGTTGAGAACCCTGCACTTTTGATTATTCGTCCAAGGACGTGGAATATGGATGAACTGGTGCGTCCCAGTATTTAAGACTTTGAATTCTCTACAGATGCTGTATTCTTATACTTTTGTTGATTTGGATAGCACATGGTAGTGAATGGACATGTTGTACCAGGTGCATTGTTTGACTTTGGAGTGCATCTGTTTCATAAGTAAGTGTCGTGCTTACGTTCTCGAAAACGTTCCTTTTTGTCGGCTAATTCCAGCTCGAACTTGTATTTGGCATAACAAAGCGGCAAATATCTTGTTGAAAATGGAACGGGACCATTCTTGTATTTATCCAAGGTAAGACCATGTTTACGTGCCATTGAACTTTACCATCGATACTTACTTTGAATGCGTGTGCGTTGGACCGGACACAGCTGGAAGGGTACACGGAAGCAGCTTTGTGGAGAAGAATCTTTGAGTACACGGAGAAGAAGCTCCAACTCGCACATGTGTGTTTGCATCTATTTCTTGTTTCTGATCCAGTTTGATAAAACCTAATAGTGGACAAACGATGTGAACTCTAGGGAAGTATTAAGGCGACTGTGTTGATTGAGAACATATTTGCCGCATTCGAAATGGATGAAATTCTCTATGAGCTTCGTCATCATTCGTCGGGCTTAAACTGCGGTATGTGGGACTACACGGCTTCCATTGTGGTCAATTTCCGCCACCGACCCGAGTGCTTGTTACCAGACCGTCAGCAGTACGTTTCGATGAAGTCTGACTTTCTCAGGTAAGGAGCATGTGTTCTCGTCGCGTTTATTGAAGCTACTTCACCGCGGTCAATGTTGTGTGGAGAATCTGTAGAGTCTACATGTATCTGCTAATAGCCACGTGTAAACGTCGTCATGCGCCGGCAACGACCGGCATGGTGCCTTTTGTTCTGGCAGAGTTACCGCCGCAACTATCACAATCTGAAGCGATTGAGAAAACACAATCAGGAAAGAGAATGGAAGCTTGTGCTGGATCTGATGGTGCACTTGTGTACGATCTGGCGCTTGTACAACCTGTTGCCGAAGTATTCACGGCGGCTCGTGAAAACACCAGCACATATACTGCTGTCCTCGATGAAGAACTGCTTAACAAAAAGCTGCTCAAACTGCCGCGAGGACATGTCACGCTACAATCTGTGGAGATGGATGTGCGCGTTACATTTCTGTATATACTTCACTGGTTATACGGGCGTGGCACTGTCATCGTGAAAGGATGCGTCGAAGATTCGGCCACCGCTGAAATTTCGCGTGCCCAGTTGTGGCAATGGATATATCATCGTGTGTCAACTGCAGGAACGTCGAAGCAGGTGGATGCCTTGTAAGTGCCTACTGTAGAAGTACCACCACATGTTGCTTCATACTTTCCATCCTGAACATATTTGCGTGCTGCTTGTGCTGTTGTTAACAGCCTCATTAAAGAAATGCTTGGGAAGGTGCTTCACGAAGAAAAGCTAAAGCAACATCATCCGCCCCAGTACATCGAGACAGCGCAGCACCTTGTATTTCTCCTTTCAACAATGCGATGTCCTCCTGCTTATATTACAACGTTTCTTCAGAAGACTCTCGAACACTGGCATTTTTCTTGAAACCAGCAACTTTGAAAGGCCGAAAGGGAACGAAACGACTTGTGCTTTTGGAGTAATTACTACTAATATGCTAGATATCGATCGATCAAGCAAAGCCCTCCATCGATGCCGGCGCGTTTTCCACCACCTCGAAACCGTTACCCTTCAATGAAATCACGTTTGACTCTGCTAATGTTTTCGTTCCGTATTCAGCCTTGGTGCGTTTCACAAAACTCTTGACAACCAACTCGCGATCCAGAATCTGATTCAGTTCCTTGTCGGTAATGCCACCGCTCTCGATGCCCTTTCGAATTTCTACATCGTCTTTCAATAATTCTTCCAACTCCGTGTTGGTGAGTTTGGCAGCTTCGGCAGGAGTCGTACGCTGCTTGAACCCGCCACGTTGGATGACAACGCGCTCAAGTTTACGCTTCTCGAACGCTCGCTGGGTCATACGATCCTCGAAAGAGTTTTCAGTCACAAGACGATACACGATGATTTCGTTCTTTTGACCAATTCTGTGGCAGCGATCCATGGCCTGGTTGTCCTGCTGCGGGTTCCAGTCCGAGTCGAAGAAAATAACTGTATCGGCAGCAATCAAATTGACGCCCAGACCACCAGCACGCGTAGACAGCAGGAAAACGAAAACATTATCGTCGTCATTCGCAGAGACCGACCCTGCAGAGACTTTGTTAAACCTTTGCATCTGGTCAACACGATCGACCAGTTTCGTAGTGCCGTCCAATCTGCAGTAGCTGTAATCTCGCATGAGTAGATAATCTTCTAGGATATCCAACACGCGTGTCATCTGACTAAAAATAAGCACTTTATGACCCTTACGCTTGAGCTCGCGCAGCATCTTATCCAGAACCAGCATCTTTCCGGACATCTCTACAATGCTTTCATCCGTAACAACACCTCCAGTTGCCGTCAATGGTTCGTCAAAAAGGTAAGGGTGCAAGCAGCACTTTCGCAAATGCATCACCTTGTTCCTTAGCGTCCTCGTATTGAATGCCTGTTGGGCTTGGAATTTGCCATATTTTTCCTCCATAGCCCTCGCAAGCGTACCGTCACGAATCATATCGTAATACTCACGCTGCATCGGTGTCATGGGGCAATAAACAAAAATTTCCGTTTTCGAGACCATCTCTCCCACTACGTCAACCTTCAGTCGGCGAAGCAGAAAAGGTCGTAGGATCTCGTGTAGCTTTGCAATAACCTCGACTTTCTTCTCACCCTGTAGTACATCTTGCGCAGCTACCGATTCATTCGTAGTAGCAGCAGTTGCAACGGCATCAGGCGTAAACGAGAACCAGCTCTCAAAGAGCTCAAGGTCATCAAATACATCTGGCAAAATAAAGTTCAGCAACGACCATAGTTCCGTCAAATTATTCTGCAAAGGTGTGCCTGTCAACAATAGCCGGTTCTCTGAACGTCCACGCTTCAGCTCACGAATGAGTTTGCAATCCATATTTTTCAGACGGTGTCCCTCATCAATAACCATGTACTTCCATACAAATCCCAAGCTTGTAAACGATCTGGCATCTGCCAACATGACCTCGTACGAAGAGATAACAACGGGAAAGTCAGCATTAGTCTTCTTCTTTGCGTTCAGCTCATTTTTCCGCATATCCTTCCGCTCCTGTTTCGTGCCGTGGTAGATTACCACGGGCATACTAGGCGCCCATTTACGAAATTCCGTCGCCCAGTTCATCAAAGTCGACAACGGGGCTACAATAAGGTGCGGCCCTCGTACACCCAGTGCCTTTAAATGACCTAAAAGACCAATCACTTGAATTGTTTTACCTAAACCCATTTCATCGGCAAGAATGCCATTCAGACCGTTTTCAAACAAGTTGCAAAGCCATCGAATGCCTTCCAATTGATAGTCACGCAGCGTGCCGCCGGTCAGGAACTTGGGTTGATTGAATTGCACCTTTTTTGGCTCTTCATGCGTAATCAAAGTAACATCTTCTTGTACTTCACGCAACTTGTCGACACCTTTCTTGGACTTTTTATTAGACTCGTTCAACGCCTTTTTACCCCGTTTGCGTTTCCCTTTAGAGTTTTTAGCTTCTTCTTCTTCTGCATCAACTTGCACAATCTCACTGACTGTAGCAGCGCTTTCCATATTGGAAAACAAAAAACTCGAGTATAGACTCGCCTTCTCCAGTAGCGAGTCCAGCTTTGCAATCTTCTCTCCTGTCGCTTCCACAGGCTCGGCATTTATCGCATTAGTAACAGAAAGAGCTTCACGTTCTTTACGTGCCTCGTCTTCAATCTTCTCCATGGCCACGAGGTCCTGTGTGGTGTGCAATGTTGCAGCATTGTCTGAAAATGCATTAGCGACCATCACTCTCATTTCCCACCTTTGATAGGGACGTATAAATGCGGAATGAAAGGCAATCGTTGGCCAGCCAAAAAGCGCGCAAAAGTCACGATTGTTTATTGGATGAAAACAATCGATTTATGGCCAATGATATGATAGTGTAGCCATGTCAGACGAGAGTGAAGGTGCTTGTTGAAGCTACAAAAGAGAGTGAAGGTCCTTGATTACCATCAAGCCAAGTGCTTCTGGCAAATGGCCGCTTATTGTCCGTAGGTGGAGGCCACGAAACAGCGAGAATGACGTCCAAGGCTAAAGTCATCAAGAACTTGGCATGGAGAGGCTGGGACCAGCAGACTTGGGAAGACTTGACGATAATCGACTCTTCGCCAGCATTTTCGCTACTATCGGCTTAAATAGCTTCACCACCACCACCACTACAAACACACGTTACTCATCGTTTGCACACGCTGGGGCAATGAACAACCCCTCTCATCCTGACGTACATCGCTTCAACATGATTGATATTCGCCCTCCCTACGCTCTATGAGCGTCACTCTCAAGTTTTCACAGGACACGTCCAGCGTTGCTTGTCATTGCCAGAACTTTCGCAGGCGAAACAAAACGTTGTACTGTTGGGCATGTAATACTGCTTCTAGCAAGCAATTGACAAGAGATAGTCCGAAGGGGCTTTTTCTCCAGTTGATCAGTGAAATTCGGATTCAGTGGAGTCTCTCAACACGACGAGATCTATAGCAACACATGCAATCGCCCCGCAAAACTTGCGAAGAAACCGGCAATCCTTATCTCCAAACCGGCCGTCTTTTCATGCCACACTGAACGAGGCATTTGCAGGCAGCGCATTTAGTTGTAATCTCACGTGTTACATCGAGTTGATAGGCTGTTCAGAGCATTCGATGCTGGTCTTTGATCTGCTCAATCTGATCCGCTGTAGACGCACACGCTGCATCTGCACATGAGCGACAAAATGGTTGGTTTCGCGTTTGCATCGAGTTTGTGGAAGAAACGGAGGTAAGGCGATGCTTAACAAAATGACTTTAGCAACACGATTTGGTGTATGATGAATAGCGCAAAAATTGTCGTATACTCTACAGCAGCCTGGCAGCAAGTGGGAAAGACCTCCTCTAACTCTCTTACAGCGTTGATCGCGAAGCTGCCTAGTTCTTTCAGTAATACAAGCGTTGCTTCTTTACTCAAGGAAAAGTCTCCAACCTCAAAACTGTCCCTTTAGGCTATTGCAACTCGTTGGGACGCTGCCAATGGTCCAAGTGCACCAGTCATCAACGCGATATCAGTCACAAGCTTACTCAGGCACTGGCTCCGGGCCAAGCTTAATGTAGCGTCAGGCCCACGCAATAGAGTTAAAGCGACCTCACGCGATCCATAGTGCTGTTCACACAGCGAGCACTGTGACCCACCATTTCTTCCTAGGAGCATTTGCTGGTTGTGTGTCTCGAACAAATTTTGTAAGGCGCGTACGGTTCGCTTGAATCACGCCAAAACATTCGCTATAGATCGCCATGGAGTTTTTCCAAATTTAAGGCACATCTCTACATGCATCTTATGGATTAGAACTCGCTGTGGACAGAAGTTTGCAGTCCACCTCGTCAAGGCTGTCATGAACTGCCGATTGCAGAGTCCTGTAAACGGTTCCTGAACTGCCTGTTCAAATTCTTGTAGAACACCCCACTCACAACAAAATAAAGCTACACACTCGTGCGATAGATGATTGATCAGCATTTGTGCGCATAAAGGCATTTTAGCAACTGGGTCAGTGGTCCACACTCCAAATAGCTGAGACTTCCATTCTGGTATCACCACGTCTAAACACTTGATTATCGTGTCTCTTTAGTATCCAATACTTTGCGACGTTTTTTTAAACGGGTACTGAAGCCAAATGATATCAAACAATTGGCTATCACGCTCAAAGCGCACACGAATATTAAGAAACGGTGTCGCCAGCTCCATTTCCTCTCTCAAGCGCAATTGCAAATGCCCACATTCCTCGTAGTGAATCTTTAAAGTGTCTGCAATTTGACAGCACATGCCACACGACACAAGCATGACAACTGCTGTTCCATACATGGCGGCTCGCTCACTACTGTATCCATCCCTGTATCCTTCGCTGTCTTCTGAAAAAGCGAAACAACTTGACTGAATGACTAGCACATACTTACGTACTTTATACACATGTTAAACTTCAGCAAAGTGTCTACACTTACCATACAACGCGACTCGTTTAGGTCAACATTTTCGATTGTTCCGGTCCAGCCTCGTTTCTTCCAGCAGCGAGAACGTCATTGGCACATTCCACGCATTGCGATGACCATCTCTCGTTGCCTGGAACAACACGTCAGCCATAAGATCGCTCACAATGTCTCTATAAATCAGGAAAAATCTCAATTGAGCAACGAAAGCGTGGGCTTTAGTACTTGGAGTGAAGGGCTCATAGACCAATGAAGGCAGCGCCATCACCATAACATCACTGCAAGTTGCACGAGCAGCCAACATGTACTTGCGTCTCTTATTGTCTCCAAACTTCTGATAATCTTCCCAACGTGCTGGATGCTGCTGTTTCATGTGGTGTCTCATATTGTCAGGTCGCCATGGAGCTGAGAAATTGCGGATGCGACTGCTTTTCTTGTGCTTATGCCACCAGTTTCTGCTCTTTCAAATGCTTGACACATGAGATACACATTCCTTATAAGAACTTGTGCGAATTTCAATCATGCTCAGTCACTGCCAGTGCGTACGTGAGCTCCCAAACCTGTGGGGCGAACCTGCGGGGCGAACCTGCAGGTGTCGGGGATGTTACGATCGTTATTTTGTGTACGATTACATATTATATACATGTGGTCCACATGAAACGATCGTCAAAATGACGCAAAAAATAGCAAGCTTGACGATGGAGTCACGGCACAAGCGGGTACAGCAAAAGGGTCGCTTTACGATCACCGAGATCATTCCTGGATCGCCCTGTTCATCACATCATGTTTCATCACCTACGTTTCTAAAGGAAGAAGTTGCTATTGCAGTAGACAACGCATCCGGTAGCTACAGTGGAGTGAAAGTGGCTACAATTCAGTCTCAGCCACTATTTCACGAGCAAATTGATGCTATAGCGTGTAATGACACGATAAAACAACCCGTTGCAAGCGGGTTTGTACCGATGAAATTGGAAGAGATGACTGAGCTTCAGACGCAGCCAGCAGAAGCGGCCTTGGTATCAATTAGTGCGAGTCTAATTCTTACTCCAAAAGTGCGTCCTACTTTGTATTGATTGCATAAATTTTGATTCTGTGAATGGAGTTGATATTATTAACGTGAAAGTGAGTAAACTCTTTTGTTAGACAAAAGCTGTTGCAATGGAATCGACGCAGCACGGGGTAGTATCGACCTCGACAGCTATTGTTCATGCTGGTTCAGTTTCTGGACCATCGTCTTTGCGAAAGTACTCGTCTCCTAAGAAAAGCCGTGACGGAGTGCAGCGTGCTCGACGGTGATTCTTAGTTTCTCAAAAAAAAGGTCGTGGTCTGTACTGATAAACTATAGCCTTAACCACTTGTGTGCTTGGACTTTGATAGGATCAAGCATAGAGGACGTTTTACCATTATCGAGATGGCGTTCGACTCGCCAACATCCAGGAAAGACTCTGATGAAGTACGTTTATAGGAAATGGATAAAGAGAGTCTGGACATCGAGGGTCTAACGCTTTTGCGTGTATGTTCTGTATAACAGCTGTACGACCATCGTTTCGCCACTACAACTTCGGTTGGAGGATCTTCAGCTAAAAGTCTTCCACAGCAACCTAGTCGCAAGATCGATGCCGTGGAGCGCCGCACAAAGCCAAAGCGCGCGACTCGGTCGACGCCTCGCCTTCGACAACCTTCGTCCATGCGTCGTTCGAGACGGCCAAACGAAAGTACAGCTCGCGAAGTTATCGACTTCGTGGACAGGGTAGATCCCACTGGAAGTCAGCAACACCAGCAAGCAATGACAGCCTGTGCTGAACTCGAGACTTTGTCAGTGACCGATAGCACGATCTTGACAGATGCCGTTGCAACCGGTGCTGGTGCCGCTGCAACACCACATGCCAGCGTACCAGTATTTAAGACTGGGCAAACGTTCCTTGACAGCAAGAAGACTGTCGGGGCTACAACGTCGGCTTCTCACCCTCCCACGCCGCCTTCACGGCTCGTGAATGTTTCGGAGAACATAGTAAATCTGCCACAATCGTCATCGACGTCAATTTCAGCCGCTCAATACCTACAGCAACAGCAAACAATTGCCATGCTAATCCGACAACAACACGATTTAAAGCAGATCATCGGCGTTCTTCAGGAGCAGCAACAACAACTCTTGTCCATTCCGTCGCATATCAATGAGCTTAAAAGCCAAAGCGCAAGCTTGTACGTCTACGACATATTTTCTTATGAGGGTACCAGGTTTCTAACTCATGTTTTTGCTTCTTGCCTGGATACAGCAACAATGATCAGGCAAGAGACGACGAAACGGTAAACTTGTCTTGGCGTTGCGATTCGTCCTCACACTTGAGCTAATTTTTCTTTGTTTGCCATGCACAGCGAGAACTTTGCATGAAGGTAAACTCATTAACGCTTGCTAATGAGTCTCTGCATTCGCAGTTGCATGCTGCGGAGCAGGAAGTTCGTCACCGTAATTTGCAAATCGAGTGCTTGTCGGAAGAGAATGATGAGCTACGTCAGCGCTGTGGACAGCTAGAACTCTATCTACAACCCAGAGACTAAGCTCGCGCCAACTACAACTTGCTTCATTAACAAAGGCAAGTAGAGATCCGTTCTGACAGAAGAGTTTGAGCATCGTGTACGCAAACTCTGAGTCAGCAACAGCAACAGCAACAGTAGCAGCAGCAGCAATCCAATTTGAGAAATTGCTAAATCATGCCAGCGATTTTTGTAGTGGTCATGGTTGTCATACAAAATATACGACCTGGTCAATATGGATGATAACAAAACACCGAGCAACGCGACTGACTCGCGTCTTGACGTCTTGAGAAGATCAATCAATACTTTATAAGATCCGAGCTACTTGAATCATGCTTGGGGTCATTGTAATCCGTAACAATGTCTATGAAATGGCTGCAGCAATTTGGCAGCAAAAAGCATGGCGTACAAGAAAGAAGAGTACGAAACGGCCGTTTTGTAGGATTGTCTTTTGTTCTGTATACCCTGGTTTTGCAAAAGCCGTGAGCCCATGTCGCGCGAACATCGTACAGGCACAAGGAGCGGCTGCATATCAGGTAGGACACTGATAATGTTGCAAAGAAAACTTACGAAGCCTTTTTACCTCCGATTTCATACAAGTCTTCCTACTTTACGGCAGAAATACTAGTGCAAAGGTATTTCTGCCGTGATGTAGGCTGTAATAAAGATCGTTAACACGGGACTCAATTGGACGCATTCTTCATCAAAGTACTACAATTTAATGGACCATTGCAATCTAATGGACCATTAAAAGAGGAAGGGTGGAAACTACATTGGTACTGATACAATTGAAGAGCAGGTGAGAAGGACGTTCTAGTCGGAAAAGCAGAAAGTACACATGCGATACGTGATATGGTCGACCCAGGATTTTGGCGAGTGAAGTGCAGAATTGATTACAGTTCATGTACATCAGTGTGCAGTATACTGTAGCAATAATAATACATATAGAACTCTCTCCGTTAAATTATGGGTATGATGGACGACAATATCCATAACTTAACAGAGATTAAAACTTCTCGGAGTTTGTGGATTGTACATAGCAGACGCACAAGACGCACAAGTCTCAGACTCTTTGCTTCATTGTTCCGTGCCTAAAGGTGTGCGACACGTCGTCAACTTGTTTTCCCTGTGCTAATAGTAAATGCTAAATGTAAATTTACAGTGTCTAACAGTGTCTTGCTTACCTCGATAGTTCAAGATGTCGCAAAGCTGGAGCAGGAGCTGAGAGACCAGCTAGAGCAGCTGCGTGTCCGGGAATCCATGACGATTTCGGAGCTTCTCAATCCTATCGAAGAGGATGAGACTGCTCAGACGGAGCTGATCGAGAACGAGATTCTGTCAGAGGTACAGAAGGAGGGTAAAAAACAGTAAAGATGTGGCATTTGCCGCAAACAAGTTCACCAGAATTAAAAAGAATAACCTCCTTCGTGATACCTGCTCCCTGCTCAATGTATCGGAGGAAAGTCACCAAGCGGCTTATCGAGTCCTCCCGCGACCTTCAATTTGACATTCGCAACGCACCCACCACCCAAATTATCCTCAAGTTCTTTTCAGCAGTGTCTTTATAGTAAAACAGTTGTAAACAAGTTGCTACAACGTCTGACACGCGTGACGATCGAGGACATAATTTGTCTGAATGAAAGCCATCACTGATGGTTCACACGATATTACAGTGGACCGACTACATTGGACCGACTACATTGGACCGACTATTGTCCTGTTTTATACAATTCATAACCTGAAAATCTCATTTCATATCGTTCGTACCCACGTCGGCCATAGCCAGCCGTGTATGTACTTTTGACGTGCTTAAATCTCGAACCATTATCTTTGGAGACGAAATGCACTTTCTTTTTGTATGAATAATTCCACCACGTTAATTAAGTTTTGCAGGTTCCATGAGAAAATACGTTTATCTCTACGGTTCAGTTCTCAAAACGCAGACTAAAGCGCTTAACTTTTTGATTAGCGGCCAGTGCCAGTGGTCCACCATTTACAAGAGCGCAGGCGCGTGCGTAAACACCTCTTGTATACAAATTTTAAGTCATATAACAGTCCGAATCATAATCAAGTCAATGTACTCGAACGAGATGCTGTTTAAATGCAACGGATCGCCACATATGGTAGAGGACACCGAGATTCTAGACGAGGACGACGTCGTGTCTCTGGGCCTTGCCGTTAACACGCGGAATTATCAGGCGTTGATTGCTAACTTGGCGTGCAAAGTCTCTGTCTCTCATAGCCGACGCCGATCACTTGGTACAATGTACCAGGAGGACCAGCCACTGGCGAGCCCTATAAAGGACGAGAAGATGGCTACATGTGATCAAAAAGAAGAGGATTACACTGTCATGGGGTTACCTGTAGACACAAGGAATTATGAAGCTATTGTAGGTGGTAATCGTCCCATAAGATCCGACTCAGGACCGGGGTATCGATTCAGTCGACGTGCAACGGTGGGAACAATGGCACAGATGCCAGAGCCAGTAAATAGAGACAAGGACGAGTCTATGGTTGTAGATGAAAGGGGTGGACAGGATGACGCTGTCATGGGGCTGCCAATTAGTACAGGGAACTATGTGGCTTATTTAGCAGGTCAAGAAGGATCTGGATTACAACAGGCAGGACATCGCTATCGAGGATACAGTAATCTTGCCCAAGAGAAGGAGGCCCGTGAACCACGTGTTAGTGACCCGTACCTTTCATCTTCACAACGTGGACAGCTTTCTTCTGATTTCCATGCATCTTCAAGCAATAATAATCAGAAGGATAACATACGTTCATCCTGCTTTGATAACCGACGTGCATCAAGTGCAGCGGTTGTTCCTCATGCAGGCTGGGTATTTATTCAACGTGGTGCATTTAGATCGTGGAAACGATACTATGCCGTTTTGTCAGGGACGGAGTTTAAGTACAGCAAAGGCGTGGGGCAGTCTCCAAAGGGTTATGGCCTTCTGATGTCCGTTCAACGAATGGAGGATTTGCGCTTTGGACTACAGCTCGAGTTTGGCGACGGCGGCACGCTTCAGATCCGATGCCCCAGTGACCATGACCATGAGCAATGGTTGAGATCGATGGAAAAAGCTATTGAGCGCAATCAGAACCTCAACTCGCGATCGAAAACGTCATACACACTTACAGCGGCTGAGCAACACGAGGGCTATTTGTTCAAGCAAGAGAAAAATAAAGCGTGGAAGCGATGTTTTTTCGTCGTGCGTATTGACGGCTACATTGAGTGCCGAGATGGTAAGCATGGCACCCCTGACCGCAAGTGCTCTGGGTATATCAAGGCTGTATCATTCGCAGACTGTCACGCGAATGGATTAGCTATTCAGCTCAGCACAGATATGTGTATGGTATGCTACGCAGATTCGTACGACGACCAGATGCTTTGGTATGGTGCTATCTCAGCAGCAGCCAGCGCGAATGGCAAAATAGTACAACTGACGACGTCGGTGAAAAGCTGCTATGTGCAAACAGCGCTGTCAAACCACGCAGGATGGCTATACAAACAGGCAGGTATTTTTAAGGGCTGGAAGCGGTTGTACTTTACACTGCATGGCGTTGAATTGGCTTATGCCAAGGACACAAACTCGGAGATTGTGCTTTCCGATAAGGCGCATATGGTGGAAGAATGGGAAGGTCATGCAAATGGACTATTGATTCGGCTAATGAGCGGACGCGTCTGGAAAGTTCATGCCGAGACATACGAAACAGCCAAGCGGTGGCGCTCCGTCATTAGCAGCGCATGTCGGCACGCGGAAACTTTTAATCTAAAAAAGTATCTAAATAGCCGGCGGCGCAAGAAATTGAGGCCCGTGTTTGGTGGATGGCTTACAGAGGTGAAGAAGGGCTCGCGTTTGCGGCGCTTCTACGTGGTGGACGGCTCATCGCTTGGTGTTGCCAATGATGTGGACAACCAGCTCGAGCGTCTTGGCACCGTTGTGGACGTTGGGTCAACGCGTGATCTGGAGTGCGGAATGGTGTTTACGCTTGCTAACGGAAACAAGGTGAAGGTGAATTGCGACTCACTGGCCGACTCCAGATGCTGGTACGAGTGCTTGAACTTTTCACTCAAGTAGATGTGCTTCAGTGAATTTGTACAACAGTGGCTGTAGTGTCAGTCGTAAGGTATTAGGACAAACAACCTCGGGGACTGGGTCTGACCGAAGAAGGGTTTTCGTGTCGTCGTATCGGTCACAGTGAATCGAATAGTAACATAATTTAGTTGTTTCAATCTTGCAAATGTAAAGTGTCTTCGGGCAAAGGGCAAAAAGCTTAGTCTCTTGCTGCATTGTTGACAGGTATTAGAGCGAGTCGACAATCTGGTCATACAACCGCGTTCAAACTGATAACAACACTGTCGATGAAAATTACTGACGAACAATTTGATAGGCTTCACCGCTTACGTTTAAAATCGTTCGAACGAGGTTTCTTGGTATTTCATTACGAACTGCTGCGGATCCGTTGCAGTATCAACCTTTCTGACCAAATCCACGACCTTATTTTTCATCATCAAGATCATCAGGATCTGGCATGACCCGATCCATATGCACCTCGATAGCAAGATCTTCATGCTCGTCTACATCATCGTTGCTTTTCACATCACGGTCGTCGCTGCCATCAGCGACGCAAGGAATTTCACGACCATTGCGAGCTTCTTTTTCTCCAGCAGCGATCTCATCTTGCTTCATTTGCTTCTCGTCATTGGCTTCACTATCAGAAGATGACGAACCTTCCTCCAGCCACTCTTGAAATTTATCAGCACGCTCCTTCTCCTCATTCGTACTTTCCCGATGGGTGTAGTCTGTGCCATCCCAAAATCCACACTCAAGTTTTCGGCCAGCAAAGAATCGTCCGTTCATAATCTCGACACACCGAGCAGCAGAGCCACTTGAAGCAAATTTAATTGCCACCACACCGTCCATGTGCTTGGCAAAGAGCGTAATCTTTGACACCTCACCAATCTTCGAGCATTCACCATATATATCTTCTTGCAATTCTTTCTCATATGCTTCGTCTATTCATAAATAAGACCCCTAGGTCAGTTATCCCCGCATATGCAATACAATCTAAAAGCTTACCTTCAATTTCAGCAGGAGTAAACATATGCTTGATAACAACAATACGTAGGCCAGCTGGCTCGCTAACTTCACCTTCGTTCCAGGACAAAGCCTAGAGAAATCGATACCAATGTAAAAGAACCTCCGCCTTCTGTAAGTCGCAATATTCTCAACCTTACCTTTTCCTTCTCGAACATTCTAATCTTTGCGCGTGTGTCGATTTTGTTCTTCTTCCGCTTAACAAACTCTTCACCTTTTTGCTGAAACTCCGCGGGGCATACATCGATAGGCCACCTACAACAATTTACAGGAACAAGTGGCGAGTGTGTCAATTCATATGGCTATATCATAATCATCTTTACAATTACAAACGTACTTGGGTCGGATCTGTGACTTGTCGAGCAATTGTACGGCAAGCTCCACCGATGCTTCCTTCATATAGCACACTGATCCATCGCCCTGCAGGCAGCATTATACATCCAGCGTCGTGATAAACTAGGACGCATCTTACACTAGCAAAACTTACGTTTAACCCCCCACTCTCTCTGTTTGGATACAGCTTAATGCGTGGTTCGCCAGTTACGATGTCCGACTGGATTACACCGCATTTTGCAAAATGATCGTGCACCTCTTGCACCGTAACATCCAGTGGTAAACCGTTCACATACGCCCACGTATTTCTCCTGCTTCTTTTCCACTTGTCACTTTTCTTCTTCTTCTTTTTCTTGCGCTTTTTAGCAGCATCTACATCCACATTTGTTTCATAAGCGGATGGTGTCGACACAATCGATGCAATCGGCTTCTCATTCTGGTCAGTCTCGTGTCCATCCTTGTTATCTTTTAGACATGGCTGACCAGCGTCTTTCTCTGACTTAGCTTCCGCCACAGCCTCTTGCAAAGACGCCAGCTCTTCTTCAATTTTGTCTTCAGGTGTAATATACGTCTTCGACTCCGTATCAAACACATATTTCTTGCCATCTTCAGCAACAAGAGCGTCTGTCAATCTACACAAAAAAATAAATAAAAAAAACATTAGCCAAGTCAGACACTAAAGTATATCAACACCACAAACAAGAAAACATACGTACTTATTCTCAAAAACTTGATGTTCCATAGGCACTTCACTTGCCTGTTCTTGCAACTCTATTTCTCGATTCAAATCATCATTGGCTTCTTGTAAAAACTCTTTCAGCGACGGCACTTCACCTACATCCCACCAAAAAATCATATACTTATATCAGTATAAACAAAAAGTATCTTGCAATAACATTGCAATAACTATTGCCCACCAATGGGTTTCCAACCGTCGAGCTCTTGGTTCCAGACGAGCGTCATACCGTCCACTTCTCCGTCCACAAAAAGCTGCACGAGACGCTGCGTCGTCACTGGACCGGTCCGCGTTCCTTCTTCGCTCAACTTCGCTGTATTCTCAGCCGTATAGTACCAAAGCATTGTCCAAACGTGGCAATAAGCTGCCAAAGGCTCAACATTAACGATTGCAGCCCATTCAGAGAGATGCTTGGTCCACACCAATTGCTGTGGCTGCACGATACCCTTACGTAGAAGCTTTTTGAGGACTACAAGAGACACAGGGCCTTTTGGCTGTCCTGTGACGGCGTCCAAGTAGAGCCACAGCTTGGCTCCTGACGTCGTCATCCTGTGATGCTGGTAAATGTCAATTGACAGGTAACGATTGGTTAAAACGTTGTCTTTATATCAGCCAATCATATTACGAATAAAACGAACCGTTAGATCAGGTTGTAAGATGGCTACACTTGATATGTAATCATTGTAATGAAGCAGATTATGTAGCCAAACTATGATCGCAACAACATTTGTGATACACTATTCTTCTCCATAGGTAAAAACTTTGGACGATCGGATCGATAACTTAAGAAGCATGTTATTGTTGATGACAGCAGAAAAGTTTTTCCTGCACTCAAATGCAAAATCTTTATAGGAAGCTTAACAACTGGTTTCTATGTCAACAGCAGCTTGTCAGATTAGTGAACAACATACATTGAACAAGAAAGCGCAGCACGAAAGTCTCAGTCACTAGCCGGCCGGTTCAACAAGACTACCATACGACACAAAGATTGCGTTCTAGCCAACGATCACAAGTCTCCAACTGGAATGACTGAAAACATTCAACCAACAGGCATAAAATAAACTGGATAATAGCAGATTACAAAGTAAAAGTGACCAATCGACTTGTTGCCAGCCATCTCTCGATCGCCATTGGCCGTGCTTCATCTCCTAAGCTTTTCCACAAGTCTGTGTCTCTGCAATAGCTCACACGCCTTTCTTACGGAGTTGATGGAAATGCACAAACTTTGTTTTCCTCTTCTTCGACTTCTTTTTGTCCTTCTTTACTTTCTCCATGGAGACGTCAGTCTCCTGATTCAGCAGAACAGCCTCAGCTTCCGCAGATGTTTGTTTCTTCACTATTCCAGTAATTTCATTGCTAGTAACGGGTACTGAGACACCCATGAGCTTCTTTAGACTTGCCACTGATGTGCCAGTACCTAAAGTTGTACAGAATAGTTGTTAAATAATTGCAATAACTGACTGAGAATAATTGCCTAGACATTCGGTCGTACCTTGTCCGGCAATGGCCTTCTTCAGATTTTCCTGGATCTTCGCTTCCTGTATCGCTTGGTGTGGCACACCGATGCGCTTCCGTAGCTCTGTGCGGAACTTTCGCTTGATTTTAGAGCGTAGACTCTTTGCCATCGTATTGTCTCGAGGCTCCTGCTACTGCCGCTTGGTGTCGTCGAGTGTTGTTAGCGTCTGATAGCTTTGGTCCAATCAACCAAGTGAGGACAATAATTGGCTGAAAAGAAAATGCTTAAGTGATATGATTCGTGGAAATAAACATACCTGCGACGTGTGAGACCCTTATGATCCGCATACCGATCAATATATCGATTATTACAGGTAGTCGTGATGCACTACCTGATTAGAAGAATCACGTATGAAGTGACCAAATTCATACCAAAATCGTATTCGCCCCATTTGTTCGTCATGTTCCTGGCCGCTTCCTTTACCCGTCGTACTGCTATTTATACCATTCGTCGTGTACGTCGCTTCTCGTCTTCTCTCGGCTTTTTTCCGGGCACGGAGATGCCATTTGTAGCCGATGTGGTGTTCCGAGACCCCAAGGAGAATGACATTCTCCCGTGTTTTCGCAGTAAAGTGTCAATTTTTTATTGCAATAATTCACTTGTAAAATTATTGCAATATTTTACATAGTAAGTACTGACAAGTTGTTTCTTAATTGTAGTTCTTAATGAAGATGGCGACGTCGTGGACGGGGCAAAGGATCCACAACTCAGTCGAGATTTATGCACGCAAATTTACAGTCAAATGATCCGCTTGAACGTACGACATTTGACTTGTTTCTCATTACTTTCTAGTAAGCAGAGAAGGATTGCTGACTATGTACTATTGCAATAATGTGATAGACAATGGACAATATTTTCTACGATGCACAGCGTCAAGGACGTATTTCATTCTACATGACATCACATGGCGAGGAATCCATTTCATTTGGTAGTGCATCAGCGCTGCATCTTCGTGATATGGTGTTTGCACAATACCGTGAGCCTGGTGTACTCATGTGGCGTGGATTTACACTCCAGGAATTTGCTGATCAGTGTTTTAGCAACAAGGATGGACATGGTAAAGGTCGTCAAATGCCAGTGCACTACGGCTCCAAGAACCTTAACCACCAAACGATCTCATCACCTTTGGCCACGCAGATTCCTCAGGTATGAAATGGTATTGCACCATTTGTTGGTATGATAGAGAGCTCTTGATATATTGATGCTGACACAATTGTCGTCGTGGGTTGACGTCTTTTGACAGGCTGCTGGAGCTGCTTATGCGTTCAAATTGGCAAAGGAAGACCGCATTGCAGTCTGCTACTTTGGTGAGGGTGCTGCTAGCGAAGGTGACTTTCACGCTGCGTTAAACATTGCATCGACGAAGGACTGCCCGATTCTGTTTTTTGTCCGGAACAATGGTTTTGCTATCAGTACATCAACTGCCGAGCAGTTTCGTGGGGATGGTATCGCGTCTCGAGGTAGTGGATATGGAATACCCGTCATGCGCGTTGATGGCAATGATGTTTTGGCGGTACACGAAGTCACTCGCCGTGCTCGCGAGTTTATTTTGAAAGAGAACCGACCCGTGCTCATTGAGGCGATGTCCTACCGGCAGGGCCACCACTCAACTTCGGATGACTCGACGCAGTACCGTCCTGTGGCAGAAATCAAGCATTGGAAGGAGACCTGCGACCCAATTGACCGAACTAAGCGCTACATGATGGTAAGTGAAATTGCTGGTTTGCTACTGCTGCGTTGCACGAAGCTAACTTTTGTACCTTCGCTAAGAATCGCGGATGGCTCACAGAGGAACAGGATCGTCTTATGCAAGATAATGAGCGAACAAATGTCCTTACTGCATTACAAAAAGCTGAAACGAAGGGCCCACCTCCTCTGGAGACAATGTTCGACGATGTGTATGACGTTAAGACGCCGCATCTTCTCGTACGTTTGACTTCTTTGTCCTTTAATATATCCCCGCCAAAAATCTCATGTTTTTGTTGTTGTGATATACAGGAACAAGAGCGTGAGATGTTAGAACATGTTGCAAAGTATCCTGATTACTATCCTCAGGAGCACTAGATAGTAAAGTAAGCACGCCTTCGTACGTTCCACTCGATTTTTGCTTACATTCATCGACCGCATGCATGTCCGAATTGCTGTGCGTGCCCTCAACGATATTTTTGAAAGTAATTGGCTCACTAGGCTGGGCCCAATTTTACAGTGATGTATCCTCTAGTTACACGGAAGGCTTCAAGTCGCGTGTGGCATTGTATTGTTTTTTACAGCTGCCAGTCGTAATTGTCGATCTGGAACTGCGTGAGGGACGTAATCACTTCGTCAGCTTTACCAAATAGTTCAGTTCTCTGCTTTTCGTCCGTGTAGATACGTACATCAGGAATAGCAATGCTGTGCATATTCGCCGCTTTAGCAGCAGTATAGCCATTTACCGAGTCTTCAAACACGACGCATTGCGGCGGCTTATCACCATCTTCTCCCTCTTTTAGACCAAAGAGACGTTGACCAGCAGTGCGAAAAATATCAGGTGCTGGCTTGCCATTCTTCACAGCCGTATCGTCTCCACATACAATAGTAGAAAAGAAGGAAAAGAGCTTGGAATGGTGCTTCATCTTGGCTTCTACGACACTCTTGCTATTGGATGTAGCCAGAGCGATGGGAATACCACGTGCATACAACGCACTCAGCAGCTCGATACCTCCAGGAATCTCCTCCACATGGTCAGACATGTCACGCATTCTTTGTTCCCACTGCTTAAACAGTTCATCAGGAGTGATGGTCTCTTCACTTAGACCAACCGCAGAAATTGCCATACGCGTCCACTCGACAGCAGGACGACCCAGGATCGTCTTGTGCATAGCCATGGTAAATTCTTTACCAAACTGACGTACAATACTATCAATAGCAAGACGACTCAATTCTTCCGTGTCCAATAGCGTTCCATCCATATCAAAGATTGCGCCATGGACCTTTGGCTTCAATAGTAAAGGGTTTACATTAAACATGACGATGCGTTTAGTAATTTTTTAAGTGTAAATTAGTTTAGAAATAAGAAATCCTATGAAATAGACTATATTGCAAAAAAAGGTCACGTGTTATAGAAAGTGAGAGACTGGATGACTGTCGGTGATATAAAAACGTTCTTCATCTGCTCGGCCATCTGCGAGATAACGTCACGATCCGACCGAATCTCCAGTCAGGCGTCTCACACGACGACGAGCAAAGGGCGACAAGTTTCTTACAATATGCATTTAATGTAAGAAACTTGTCGATGAATAGGTGGGTTTTCTGTTGCTTTCCTGTTCAATACGTAGCCATGCTGCTATCTGGAACATGGGGATTTTGTAATCTAGTACAGTCATTTTTTACCAAAGACTGCATTGCTTCAAATAACATGGTCTGTTACAAGCCCTGCCGCTACTTTGGCCTATTCGAGCTCGTCCTCGGCAACCTCCGCCTGGTCAGTCTCTTCGTCTTCCTCGTTGTAAATGTTCTCGGCCATCTGCCAAATCTGTAGGACATTGTCCTCTGCCACGGAGGCCACCATCCACGGATCGTTCGGATTCCACGAAAAGTCCGAAATCTTGGAGGTGTGGCCGCCGTGAATGAATAGCAGCTCTGGGGGTCCATCTTCAGCGTCTTCGGGCGATTGCTCGTCGCCAATCTATATGGCAAACAGTTGGCATAAGCAGTCAAGGCAAAGCCCACGCATTGAATCAACTAAAGGCTCAACACTTACCTTGCTGAGGTCCCATACGTGCATCCGGCGGTCAGCCGAGCAAGAACCTAGAATTGTCTCGTTATGGGGTGACCACTGGATCTGATAGACTTCATCGTTGTGACCCTCAAATGAGTGCAGCTTGGCCTTCATGTTACGCATATCCCAGAGGTTGACGTGCTTGTCCGCCGAGCCCGTAGCGACCAAATATTCGCTGAACGGACTAAAGGCCAAGCAATTGACCTCAGCTGTGTGTGCGTACACAGTCGTTGCCGGTTTATCGTAGCTCTCGGAGCGCATATCCCAGCTACAATCACCAAGAAATACATCCATCATCAGTCCAAACATCAAGCGTGCCCTCATATAGAACACACGCAAACTTACATGAGTAGTTTCTTGTCATCGCCGACAGAGCCAAAAATCTTTGTATGATGCATATGCCACGCCACATCCTCAATCACATCACTGTGTCCGCTGTACTTGTGCAGCGGTTGCACGGTCTTGCCAGCGTTTCGAATATCCCACTCACAAATAATGGCATCGTCCGAGCCGGAGATTAAGTGAAAAGGTTGGTGTGGATCCCAGCAGAGACCATAACCTTCCTTGGTATGGCCAAGCAATCGGAAATCTGGGTCGGAACCCGAGTTTTCTTCAGGCTGCGACGGCCGCTTTGAAATATCGAACACATGCACCTCTGCATGAGGTGTCTTGGTGGCCACAATAAGCTCATCAGACGGCATGAAACGCGCTCGGTTTACCTCTCCATCATGATTGACACGGATCTTAATGTCGACTTTGCCCGAGACGCCTCCAAATCCGCCAAGCTCCTGACTCTCCTCGTCGTACTTGCGGGCGTCAATCTCTGTGTCTTCGAGAGGAAGACGTACTTCTGCGACCATAAGATAATTCTGTTCTGCACCGGACGTGTGTGTACCCAACAGCAGCTTGTGTACCGAGAAGTCGTCTCCCGCCGAGCTGTCAACGCATCAAACACCATCAAAACATCATCATTTATTGACCAAATATCGTCACAAAAGTACCGAGGTATTGGAAATAGTATAGTGGAAACACTGGCTTACGTATGGGAGTGAGGCAACCACTGTACACTGAGCGAAGGCCACTCGAGCGCATGAGTCATGACCAAGTCATACAGAAACGGCGTGTTTTTCTTCCAAATTTTATACTCTTCACTAATAAGTTTCTCTTGCATTGCAGGATCATTAGCAGCTGCGACATTTGCTTGAACAGCAGGAACAGCAGTCGTCGATACGGATGGGGTCTCGACGTGGTCGGATGCGTCGGCCATTATAGAATTGGGATCGGAAATAGTGGCTGAGGTGGCTCGAGTCTTTGGATTGGTGGATATGATGATAATAAAAAAGTGTCTGATCGCTTACGTAATCTTTGCTTTTTGATACGCTTGGACTCAGATAGTTTTACTTAAAAGCTGAGTCAAGATGAAGCGAAGTAAGAGAACTGTCGTTTGTGTTTGTGTTTTTTAGCAGTAAATGAAGAGAATGTTTACGGATTATATATGACTTTATGTATGGTGATTATAGATGTTCAGTTGATTGTGGTGGGGTTGCTACTGCTATTAGCGCTCGTGGGGGTCATTGTGGCTTCGGCTGCATATTCCACGGCATGGGGACTCTTTGTCTGTACGTAGAGAGAGAGAATAAAGTATTTGTACATGTATTTTGCATCCTTGTGGTAATATCTTCCATTTGTAGTGCTTCCTTATGTGTTGCTGCCTATGACAGCGGCTATTTTCTCCTCGTTGGCAGGAAGTAACGACCTCAGGTGGGTAACAAAATGAAAAGATAATGTGTGGTCGCTTCGCTTGCTCAATGTTTTCTTTTCCTGTGTCCATTTGCCAGTGCCTGGACAAGTTTTGGGTGTTTCTTTGAAGCTTTTCTCTGGATCACAGCGCTTGCCATTCCCTCGATTTTGTATCGAGTGAACGCAGTAAGTTGGCTGGTATGTTTGTATGACAACGCAAGTATAGAGTTTGTGACAATTGGTGTCTGTGAACAGATCAACGGATCTCAAATGGGCTGGCTGCTGGCGTCTGACGTATTAGTGCTTGCGTCCTTTATGAGTTTGGCGTTAGTTAGCGGTGATTAAGTCGAGTTTTAACTGATTGGAAGCAGTGTAAGGGAGATTTGCTCGCAACATGTACTATGCATAAAAGATTGTTCTACTGTAGCATGTCACAAGAAACAGCTCGATACAGCCGATGAAGGTCGCTGCATTCGTTTTTCCGAACCGTTTTGCATCTGCAAGGTCCGTTTCGGAGCGATTCCTGCATACACGCGAGGGTAAAATTGCTAGCCATAATTGTCAAATGGTATCCAGTTTACCCGTCTTAGCAACACTGTAACATATGCTTGCTAGCAATATGATGAAGGTACGATGCCTGACTAGAATGGATTTACAGAAACCTAAGTCCGATAATGCCACAAGCCTGGAACTTTATGTTTTCTTATCTCCATCTTGTAGACAGCTAGAAAGCAGCAAAACAATTTGCGCTTTTAGTCGTGCACTGAAACCTATAGAGCACTTGGTTGTGTCTTATTGGAAACTTCTAGCCATTTAGGACTTCGTGCCTGCTTTGCATCTCCCTCACTATCAAACCCATGCCAATTTTGGCTTGTACTGCTACTGACAACCGAGACAGCTCGCTTTTCTCCTATGTATTTTGCCAAGGCAGTCGTGTGAAGGACGTGACGCTGTTTCGGGTCAAAGGGGTGCTACAGCCTTACAAATAGAGTGTTTGTCGCACGACAACCAGTCAAAGGCGTAGATGAACGTTGTCAAAGTCAATGAAGAGGAATTCAAAGGGCAGCCGACGTACGCAGCTGTGAAGGTATAATATATCAGACAGCAGCAACCGCTTTAAACGCCCGTAAAAGAAGTATCTTTTGTTGGGCTCTGATAAAGAATGGCACATTCATGCGCTTTCCATTCGTTCTCCTAGTGTAAAGCGGTTTTTCTCGACAGTTGAGGAAAGTCATGCTACCACAAAACTATCATGAGGTTGGACCTTTGCGCTCAATTGTGAACCAAACTGTGCTTAAAGATCGGCTGTCTTCCATCACCGTTAAGTCACGAATCAATTCAGACACAACCGTAGCCAATTTTTCCAGAGAAGCTCATGGATTGTCGAGACACCATCATGTCGCGTTTCATGCAAATCTCGACCATTAAGCTCTTTCACATGCTTCCGTGTTGTCCTGTTCATGTTTGCAGTAAAGCATCTTGATCCGCCATTGACCTTTCGCGCCGTCCATTCGGCTGGTCCTTCATCCGTTTCATGGCTAGCAGCTGCTTGGTAGCATAGAGTTTGTCGTGATCCAGTCTTTCATTCTTCAAAATTCCTTGGACACCACAAGTCTCTGCTATCTCCGTCACCACTCGATCAAACCGAGTTCAAGCAACGATAACCATGAGTGAGTCAGATCTAAGCAGCAACAACGTCATGACCGTCATTACTGTAGGTGCCGCTGGCAAGGTCGGGGATGGTGTCAATTCATACTACGTATATAAAGTCACGTCAGCCGAAGACATGGTAGTCGAGCGACGTTACTCGGACTTTCTGTGGCTGCACTACCAACTGTCCAAGCAATGCGCAGGCTACGTGATCCCACCACTGCCGTCCAAGGTCGTGGGGATGCTACAGGGAACTGGGTTTCTTGAGCATCGCCGCGCTGGTCTCGAGCGCTTCCTACACAAACTGGTGAGCCACGACGAGCTTCGGAACTCTAATTACGTTCACAGTTTTTTCGAGTGTTCCATCGTAGAGCTCACTACGCTCAAGGCTGAGACACAGCGTGCCAACTCTCTCACTACCACGTCCTTGTCGTCTGTTGTGCAACGCACGCAGTTGCTTAACAATTGGTGGAGCAAAACGTACCAGCGCATGGTGGAGAATGACGCGCTCAGCATTTTTGGCTCGCGCAACAATGGCGAGGATGGAGAGAACTGCGGCATGATCGAGGATCCAGAGTTTACGAATGTTACGAAATACGTGGCCAAGCTGAACGCGCAGATGCAGTTGCTTAAGAGTAAGGTGCGCGCGGCCAGCCAGCAGAATAAATTGGCAGCCGGCACCCATTGTGACCTCATTGAGTGCCTTAACTGGGTAGCCGATGCCGAGGAGGAAAACTCCGAGATGCCCACGTCCTACTACATTGCACTGCTGGCCGTGCTAGACACGCGTGCCCGCCAGATGGACGCCGAGCTTGAAGCCTTCTCCTCCAGTATCGACGACATTGCCCGCTGGGTCAAAGCGGTGCAGAATGCTCTGGACGTGCGTGATGACCGCAGGTATCTATATCAGGCACAGCTGGCTGCGCACCGGAAGGCAGTGAATGGAGATGGTCCCGACTCTCCTTCGGCCACCCGACTCAGCAAGGAGCTTGTTGCTGCCAAGGACGAGTTTGAGCGTGTGCACGCACGCGTGATGCGCGAGGTGGCACGTTTTCGTGGACAGAAGGCGGTGGAGCTCAAGAAGCTGTTCCTGGAGTTTGCACAGCTGCAGCTGCGTAACTCGAAGAAGATGGAGATGATCGTGACGCAGAGCACCACGGAGCTCGAGACTCCGCTGCCGGCCAAGCTTTTGTACGCCTCACAGACACCTGCATCCTGTACAAGCTCGTTCAAGTGGCGTGACTCGTTTGGACTGGACAAGAACGACGTGATTGGCACCACCAGGTCTACATCTGACACACAGTCTCCCACAGGCAGTAGCACCGCTGACGCCACGAAGCCTGTCAATGCGGTTACCGCGGATATCTACTCGGACACCCATGTATAACCCGTCAGGGTGCTCAGAGGGACGTGAGGCAGAGCCAAGGAAGGATGCGTGCTGCCATGCTTTTCTGAATATTGTGCACATTTCGTGTTGTATCTTACCTAGCAACTAGCTTATGTTTCAGAGACTCAGCAATGAGGCTGGCGAGTTTATAGATATGCGCCCGAGCTCCTCGCTGTAGCATTGTACATAATGACATATCAATCCGAACAATTCGGACTAAACCGCTGCGTAGATCGTGCATGACTGTATTGACAAAAGGCCGACGTGCGCCTTCCTGCGTGACAATATCGGCCGATTTCGTGCTACAGTTTCACTGTCGGACACGGCAAGAACTTGTCCGGTTCATGAAGCCGCAACCTGTCGGACGCGGTTCATTTGCTGGAGCATTTTGTTGCTGCCTGCAACAACAAGCAGCAACAAAATGCTTCTCACTGTAAACAAAAGCTGCACACTCAGCTTGACTGAAGCCGGTGGGCACGATGTCAAGGATGGCTACCATTCATGCGAGCTGGCAGTGCTCAACTTTCGTCAAATTTCTATTAAGGGATAAAAGCATCCATCACGAATAAAAAGACTTGGAATTTGCGCCGTTAGCAGTCATCTCAGGCAACAGCGCATGAGCCATAAGACTCGCATGTTAACCTAGGCACTAG